GCATGCATGGGATGCGCACTCCGGAATCTCGCCGGAAGTAGTAAGTCATCCGGGTACTGCTCGCATACTGATTTTCGAATTCTATGAATTCGGACATACTACTCGGCTCGCATACTGATTTTGGCGTACTATACAATATGGAAGTATGCGGTTTCGGATGCAGCCTTTGTCTTATACCAGGGGTGCTCAGTCCTGTTCCTGGAGATCATCCCCATATCAAACACACCTGAACCAATTAATTAGGAGCTGAACACCACGTGATAATTACAGGCAGGTGTGTTTGATATGGGTAGCAACTGAAATCTGCAGGAAGGTAGATCTCCAGGAACAGGGTTGAGCACCCCTGTCTTACACCATCTCTTTTAATGGAACTAATTCACATTTAACATTATTAATAGGCTACTGAGTGACTGATGATGTTGTTGGAGGTGTTGAGGAAAGTTACTTCTGAGAGTTAAGGATTACAATTGCATTGTTACTTTTGCTACAACAGGGTTTCCGCAGGGTCTAAAAAGTCCAAAATTTAAAAAAAAATTAAATTTTTGGCCTGAAAAAAAGTCTTAAATTCGCTCTTCTAGGTCTTAAGGCTGATTTACACTTCTGCGTCAAGCGCACGCGTATGCTACGGCGTTGACGCATAGGCCCTACGCTGTGGCCGTTGGCGTTGCTGTCGTGCACCTCACAAAAAATGTAACTACACGTCGCAACGACGCGTAGCGCAAGCTCTGTGATTGGTCGGCTTGGGACCGAGAGCCACGCATACGGTGCGAGCCCGATGAAGTGATTGTTAACAAGTGTGGAGTCCCCTGAAGGAGCTCCGGATGGAAAGTTTTGTTTTGTGTTTACCTCATAGTTAAAGTTGTTGCACGTCCGCCGGTTCCTGCCTCAAAATGAGCGAGTTTGAGCCACTTGTACATCCCGGAAGTGTTCAGGAACAGCAAAAAAGCAGCGAAGAAACTCGACACAGAGGAACATTTACACCTCACTGCCCACTAGCGTTTCAGTAGTGTTAATGCAGACCAACAGAGACAGCGCGCAGAAGTATAAATGCACAGCCACGCGCGTTGCATGCGCCCTGGGTTACGCCGGTCACTTGACGCAGAAGTATAAACCAGGCTTTAAAAATTTTTGCACAGGTCTTATTTTTCCAATGTCCATGTAACGCTAATGCTCATTTCAGTTCTTTTTTTGTTGCTGGTTGATGTTGCTTGGTTTTCGTGGTGTTGTAATTCTTTATTTCTCTAGGCCTTGGAAAAAGTGGTAGCGCTACCGGTAGTCGTCAACAACAAACTCCTCCGCCTCAAAGCTCCGCCTATGCTGGTTGATTGACACCTCATTTGCATTTGATTTATCATTTGCGATGTCAGTTTGAGGATTTGATTCACCATTTGCGGAGTCGTTTAAGGATTTGATTCGCCATTTGCGGAGTCGTTTAAGAATTTGATTCACCATTTGCGGAGTTGTTGGAGGATTTGATTTATAATTTGCGATGTCAGTTTGAGCATTTGATTTATAATTTGAGGAGTCGGTTTGAGGGTTTGATTCACCATTTGCAGGGTCGGTTTGAGGATTTGATTCACCATTTGCAGGGTCGGTTTGAGGATTTGATTTATAATTTGCGATGTCGGTTTGAGGATTTGATTCACCATTTGCAAAGTCCGTTTGAGCATTTGATTTATGATTTGCAGGGTCGGTTTGAGGATTTGATTTATCATTTGCAGAGTCGGTTTGAGGATTTGATTTATCATTTGCAGAGTCGGTTTGAGCATTTGATTTATCATTTGAGCATTTGATTTATTATTTGATCTTTTAAGCATTTGAATTTTCACTTTAATTTTGTTAGGAAAAAACTTCCATAGTGGAAGTTTTCACTTTCTGAAATATAAATGTTGTGCATCATTGTCAAAAACTCCTTTTAAGATGGAAAAGATACCTTTAATAGCATGTCACGGCACCACATCGCATGCAGCTAAAAGACGATGTACAGTAAGGACAGTTAACTGGTTCCCTGTTCAATAAAACTCCTACTTTATGGTCAACTGGAAGAGCACGCAAACAAATATAAATCATAAATACATCAAAAGCATAGTTTCCCAGAGATGGGTTGCGGCTGGAAGGGCATCCGCTGCATAAAAACTTGCTGGATAAGTTGGCGGTTCATTCCGCTGTGGCGACCCCGGACTAATAAAGGGACTAAGCCGACAAGAAAATGAATGAATCAAAAGCATAACTGTTGATCTAATAATGTAAGTTAATGTATTTACTAACATGAATGCTTTATTTTTTTATCACAGTATTTCTTCATCTCTGATAATATGAATGAAAATAGACATTGATTAACTCGTTGGCAATTTTCACAACCTCAAATATTAAACTGTGAGTAATAAAGGTGAGCATGTATCATTCATGTCCGTAAATACGTTAACTGATGGAAGTGTGTTGTGAAGTGTGACCTTGAATGTTTACATACGTGTTGGCTTTGAAAAATAACTGCAGGATATATTTTGGAGATCTAGATATTTCTAGTTCAAATGATTCCCAAGTGGTTTATTAGAGCAAGCAGATTTCTCCCCACTGTTACCCGTTAAATTTTCATCTGGAGGTGTAGTTAAAGAAAAAACAACAACTCCCCCTCCAGTTTTGTTGGAATAACTAAGAATTCCCACATGCTTTAGCAGCTCAGGTCTACATTATTAGCCCTCTCAAGACTTTTTCTCGTTTGGCTGCAGAACAACCAGCTGCTGTTCAATGACACACTTAAAGTAAACTCAAGCCTTGAAAACCTGTACTTTAAGTTGAGGCTCTTGAAGACTTATGTACTAAGCAGACGTTGGGAAGGTTTTGAAAAATTATATTTATATATAAAAAGTCACAAGAGGGTGAATAATTTTGGCTTCAGCGTATTTGCATGTGCACACATAATTGCATATGTTTTTGTTTTCTGTGTATACCAGGGGTGCCCAAACTCAGTCCTGGAGGACCGGTGTCCTGCAGATTTTAGCTCCATCTTGCCTCAACACACCTGCGCGGATGTTTCTAGAAAGCCTAGTACATGCTTGATTAGCTAACCCAGGTGTGTCTGATTGGGGTTGGAACTAAGGGCCTACTCACACTATGCCATCCGTACCGTGCCCAGGCCCGTTTCCCGGATCGTTTGAGAAGTGTGTGCGTGCTGAATCGGGCTCAAGCACGGTTCACTTGGCCAACCCTGGCCCGGTTGGGCTTTGAAAAAAAGCGAAGAAAGTGAGACGTGACTTTCAAGGGGCTGTTTCATATGGATTTATTAATCATTCTTACTGTTTAGTGAACGCAAACTGCCGTAGATTATTAAAGACACAAACCCCTCACTGCACGACAGCTGAGCGCCTTCAGCAGACTTCCTCATTCCTGCAGCACGAGAGCTTTCTGATTGTTTATGAGCGCCAAAAGTGGCGGATCTGTTCGGTCAAATATCTGACTGCGTCACCGCATCCCTAAGGACTGTTTGGCGAAATATTTGACACTGCATGTCACTGCATAACAAACGACTGAAACCATATAACTAGAGAAATCTTCACTGTGCTGCTAAGTGAGAGAGCGCTTCTCGTTGAACTGCACAACAGCGATGACAAAAGTGTGCCCAGGCCCGTTTGTGGTGTGAGCGCAGGCCGTCAGGGGAGACGGGAGGGGGGACAAGCGTGCTTTGGCTCAGTTCGAGGCAACTGTACCTAGTCTGAGTACGGACTAAACCTTGCAGGACACTGACCTTCCAGGACTGAGTTTGGGCAACCCTGGTGTATACAGTATCTTAACAGTAGATCTTAAACTGAAATACGTACCGAATAATACCAACACGGTTATAAATCAGCAACACAATGACGTTGTGTATGTTTGAATATTGAGTTGCATATATATGCACACATTTAAATACACGTGTGTGTGTGTGTGTGTGTGCGCAATACATATACACTACCTGACACAAGTCTCATGGCCTATCCAAGTTTTAGGGACAACAAATAATAACTTGGCTTCTAGTTGATGATTTGATATCAGAAGTGGCTTATATGAAATGGAAAAGCCTCTAGATTACGCTTATTTCACCAAAATAAAATATGATCATGCCTTGATTTTTAATTATTTAATTAGGACAGTAAGCTCTAGTCAGACCTTACTGTCTAGTCTAGTCACTGAACAGAAATAAAGAAAGTAAAGAATATAAAGTCATGCTGCAGTGGAAACAGTATGAATATTGTGTCTGACTCCATCATGAGCGTGGAGGACTGCATCCACACATCTCTGACATGACTCAAATCACTGATTAATAAAGTCATCTGGAATGGCAAAGAAAGCGTTCATGCAGGACTCCCAGAGTTCATCAAGACTCTTTTGATTCATCTTCAATGCCTCCTCCTTCATCTTACCCCAGACATGCTCAATAATGTTCATAACCGGTGACTGGGCTGGCCAATCCTGGAGCACCTTGACCCTCTTTGCTTTCAGGAGCTTTGATGTGGAGGCTGAAGTATGAGGAGCGCTATCCTGCTGAAGAACTTGCCCTCTCCTGTGGTTTGTAAGCTGCTGAATGCTTGATTCTGATTGGCTGGTGAGGATTCTGGCAGGTTTTGAGCGCATTACATCTCCATATCACGGTGCTGAATTATCATGACGACTTCATAGCACATTATGCGATTTAAACAAAACATGCTTTGAAGAAAAGTCAGCATGTATTAAATATTTCAAGAGCACATTTAAGAGCATATCACTACAATCGACCCTTCACTAAGCCCCGCCCTCCTTAGTTACTGTTGTTACGCATGTCAAGCTTTTGTGCCTGTTACGTCTATTACAATACGTGTCTATGATGTCAGACATTCCCATTGGATATAATCAGGCACATGCCCTTTATTAGTCATGGATAGAAAGTGCCCCCCCAAAAACAATCTCAAGAATTGTGATTTCGGCTCATTTTAAACAAGCAGCACAAATAATGTGAAGAAGCAGCCCAGAAACACGCACGGATGTTTGACTAAGGCTTCAGCATTTTTATTTCGCGTTTGTGTTTCCTGAAAGTAAACAAATCCTGAAAGTTTCAAGTATGTTACAGCCGTCGCCCTCGTTTGGTTCAGTTCATCTTTTAAAGGGCGATTCATTGGAGAAAACAGCACCAGAAACACCGACCGTACACCAGAGAGAGAGGGAGGAGCCTCACACACACACACACACACACACACACACATTCAGAGAAAAACTCATTTACAGAAGCTAATCAACATGCAGACACACACACACACTCCCCCCGTCCACAGTGATCAGGTCTGTCCGTGTAAACATTGATTGATTATGTACAACCGACGGATCATCATCATCATCATCATTAATCAAAAACTAATAACATTATTCACCGTATTCAAATGAGTATAAAAATGGCTCCGTCTCACTGGACGGCCAGCAGATCATGCATAAAAGTGGGCGGGGCATCAGTGATGTCATAAGGTCTTCCTCTTCAAGTCTCCGCCCTGCGCTTGATTGACATCTGCACAGAGAGAGAAACAGAGAGCGTGTTAGAGACTAGACTCGTATGTCTGATGATGATCATGATGATGGTAATGATGAAGATGAGGAAGGTCATGCAGGCAGGAGCAACACGCACTCCTTTACCTGGGAAAGCCAGCTGTAAGTGTGGAGGAAGAGCAGCCTGAGGCCCTGACATGAGGTTCTTTAACACATCTGAGGAGACACAGACAGAGACACACACATACGCATGAGAAACGCACATATATATACGGCTGATGGAGGAAAACATGATGATGATGATGATGATGAAGAGCAACATACTAATGAACACACACACTATGACATTTACACACACTGATGAAGACAATAGGAATACACAGTGATTTAGAGAATCATCCCAACATTCCTGAGTATTTAAAGCAGCTTTACAGAAGGTGCGCGCTGTTGCATTACAAACAAAATCTGCTCGTTTAACATAACTTCAAGTTAATAATAACTTTAACTAGTTAGCTAATAACTAATCACTTTAAAATGTATCAGGTAAAGTTATACATTTACCGGCCACTTTATTAGGTACACCTTACTAGTACCAGGTTGGACCCCTTTTGCCTTTAGAACTGTCTTCATCATTCATGTCATAGATTCAACAAGACACTGGAGAATTCCACAAGAGATTTTGCTCCATATTGACATGACAGCATCACACAGTTGCTGCAGATTTGTCAGTTGCACATCCATGATGCGAATCCTCCATTTCACAACATCCCAAAGGTGCTCTATTGGATTGAGTTCTGGTGACTGTGGAGGCCATTTGAGTACAGTGAATTCAATGTCATGTTCAAGAAACCAGTCTGTGATGATTCACACTTTATGATATGGTGCATTATGCTGCTGGAAGTAGCCATCAGATGATGGAGACACTGTGGTCATAAAGGGATGGACATGGTCAGCAACAATACTCAGGTAGGCTTTATGGTTCTAACGGGCCCAAAGTGTGCCAAGAAAAATATCCCCCAAACTATTACGCCACCACCACCAGCCTCAACTGCTGATACAAGGCAGGATGGATCCATGCTTTCATGTTGTTGACGCCAAATTCTGACCCTACCATTCGAATGTCAGAGCAGAAATGGAGACTCATCAGACCAGGCAACTTTTTACCAATCTTTTATTGTCCAGTTTTGGTGAGCCTGTGCCAATTGTAGCCTCAGTTTCCTGTTCTTAGCTGACAGGAGTGGCACCCGGTGTAGTCTTCTATTGCTGTAGCCCATCTGCCTCAAGGTTGGACGTGTTGTGCATTCAGAGATGCTCTTCTGTAAACCTCGGTTGTAACGAGTGCTTATATGAGTTACTGTTGCCTTTCTATCAGCTGGAACCAGACTGGCCATTCTCCTCTGACCTCTGGCATCATCAAGGCATTTGCGCCCACAGAACTGCCACTCGCTGGGTATCTTCTCTTTTTCGGGTCCTCCTCTGTAAGCTCTAGAGATGGTTGTGCGTGACAATCCCAGAAGAGCAGCAGTTTCTGAAATACTCAGACCAGCCCGTCTGGCACCAACAACCATTCCACGTTGGACAGGTGTACCTAATAAAGTGGCCGGTGAGTGAATATACATATAAATAAATGTAGTGAACCTAAAGTTATACATTACATTTAAAAACAAAACTTTTAACTAGTTAACATAACTAAAAACAGTAAATCAGTTAAAGTTATTATATATGTAATATATTATTACATCTATGTCATATAAAAGTATTATACATAAAGTTATTTTATATATATATATATATATTAGTGGTGGGCCGTTATCATTGTTAACGCGAGACTTAATCGCACGATAAAAAAAAATATGGCCGTTAATCTATTCTCAAACTTGGGTTGGGAGCTGGGTCTATTCTACGCAAGCTATGATGATGACTTTCACCTTATTATTTTAGCGCCGATATATACCTGACCGGTGAGCAGTCTGACAATTGAGTGCCCTTCTGAATCAGTTTGTGATGCATTTTGAAAACAGGAGATGAGCCCCTGGTCTAATGCGCTACCTGGCTTGAGAAACCCATTCTCAAAGACTTAATATTTGGGTAGCACACATATTCTGAATGCCTTCGGCAGAATTCAAATGAGCCATTTTAATCCAGATTAATTCAGAGATTACAGTGAGATAATAGTCTATAATAGTCTAGATAAAAAAAATTATTTATGCCCACCTATAATATATATAAATAATGAAGTGTGTAGAAAATCGCATGAGAGTGGTTGAAATCAAGCAAAAGCATTAAATTGAAGCTAATCTGATTTTTTGGTGGACATTAAAGTTGACAAAAATCCTAAAATACTTCTATAGAAACAAAAATGGTCAAACATGTCGTCTTGTCCATTTAAAATAAGTACAATTACTAAATTAAACTTTAATGTGATTAAGACAACTTGATAATATAAAATAGTTATTCACCGTCTTTACAAGAAGTTTTTAGTTAAAATATAAGCCTACATTTATTTTAAATTAAACCAAAATAATTTCCCCAAAAATCAGCTTGAGCTGCACGAACAAATGACATTTCCAAACACGCTGCTTTCATTTACAATATTCAATTTGACTGTTTTTTAATGCATTTTTTTTATCAAATACAATTTTTGTGGACGCAAGCTTATTTTCAAGCACATTAAAAGTGCTCATAAATCCACATGTTTTATTAGCATGTAATGATGTGCACTTGTTTCTGTGAGGGTTCTAGTTAGGGTTAGGCCATAGACTGTATTGTTCACCTGATTAAAAGACAATGGAACTCTGTAATATCCTCACTAAGATAGTTAAACAAACCTGTGTGTGTAAATATACATATGTGTGTGTACATGTTCAGCTATACTTGTGAGGGCTCAATTGTCCTCACTTATATAGTGAGACATCAAAACGACTCGCTATGAGGACATTTCACTGGTCCTCACTAATTTAAAGTGCTTATACATCAACATGTCTTAGTATGTAATGATGTGTGGCTGTTTCTATGAATGGTTGAGATTAGGGGTAGGTCACACACTTTTTGATAAACCTGATAGAAAAAACAGTGGAAAGTCTAGGTGATGTCCTCATTGAGATAGCGAAACAAACCTGTGTTGTGTGTGTATGTTTAGCTATACTCTTAAAGGGCTCAACTGTCCTTCCTTGTAAAGTGAGATATCAAAACAACACACTATGAGGACATTTCACTTTCCCACACTAACTACAAGTGCTTATAAATCAACATGTTTTAATTAGTATGTAATAGGGGTGTCACGATTTCGATTTTAAGCGAAAATCGATCAAAATTTATGCTCGATTTCGATTATCGAATCAGAAAATAGAATCGTCGATGCTGCCACGCCCCAATGTCACGTCAGCTTGGCTTGCCAAGCGGGAAAAAACAGGCTTGTTGAAGTGCTTGTTAAACTGTGCAGACACAGGAGACCCGTAGACAGAGCTTAAACCTTCAGGGCTCGACAAAAAGGACTGCCCGATAGCCCGGAGCAAGCGTGCGAGACGCTCGGGCCAGTGTACAGTGCTGCCTCACACATAGACGTTTGTTTCGAAATCTGTCTCGTTTCCCCTGTTAGTTAGTTTGGCATATATCCAGCAGTTGCGCTCGCATCCGCGCCAAATCAGTCCGAGATCCCCTGAATGAGATGGACTCTGCCCTACTGAGCGGATCGATTGTAGTGAGAAAACAAAACAATGCAACAAACTAACGACCCAGGCTATATCACAGTGTATTATGATCGTGTAATAGCCATATATACGGCTATATGAAGAGAGAATGATGAGCAGGGCGAGATGTCATTCTTACCGGTAAATGCGAAAGTGAAAGCATGCTGAAATATTACCGAGAGCTGTTTATCCAGCCTGATCTCGGTTTATCCATCTGGAAAATTGACCGAAATTACTATCTGTTCATTTTTCCATATTTTAATCATATAATATGTTGTATTAGGCCTGTCCAAGGCTGCAATTATTTCATCATAAATACAAATTGTGAAATGTTGCACTATAAAATAACTGTTCAAAAGTAGTTTATCATTTAATTTATTCATTTATTCCAGTGATTTAAAGATGAAATTTCAGCTTCATTACTTTAGTCACATGATCCTTCAGAAATCACTAATATTAATTATTATTATATTTATTAATGGTAATAGTAACAAAAGCAATAATGTCTGGAGTAATAATTTTATTTGAAACTACATACAATAACAAAGTAGTTATTAAAAATTTTGATAAATATTTAACAATTTAACATTTTTTACATTTAATAAATGTAGCCTTGAAGAGCCTCATTAAAGAATAACTGTAAATATATATACAGTGGAAGTCAGAATTATTAGCCCCCTTTGTTGTTTTTTTCTTTTTAAAATATTTCCTAAATGATGTTTAACAGAGCAAGGAAATGTTGATAGTATGTCTGATAATATTTTTTCCTCTGAACAAAGTCTTATTTGTTTTATTTTGGCTAGAATAAAAGCAGTTCTTAATTTTTTTTAATGAACTATTTTAAGGTCAAATTTATTAGCCCCTTAGGCTAATTGTTTTTCAGACTGTCTCCAGAACAAACCATCGTTATACAATAACTTGCCTAATTACCCTAGCCTGCCTGGTTAACCTAATTAACCTAGTTAAGACTGCTTCAATCTTTTACTTTCACACTTGTACTTTGTCATTTTAGCGAACACCTCAGATACTGTTGGCTGGTTCCTGTTGGTTGTGCACCTTTTTTTACCGACGCCATAATAACGACACAGATCACTGCCTATTCACAAGAAAAAAAGTGATTGACAGGTGGTAATTTTGTGTGTATCTTGCCTTTATTCATTTACTGTATGATTTGTTTATGGGTAAAACAAAGACCATGCAGGTCAGGTAGTTTAAACGGTAGGCTACAAATAAATAATTAGTTATTAATTAATTAATTATTGATAATCGAAAATCGAATCGTGACTTAAGAATCTAAAATGTAATCGAATCGAGGATTTGGAGAATCGTGACACCCCTAGTATGTAATGATGTGTTGTTGTTTCTATGATGGGTTAAGGTTAGGGCTTGGGGTAGGCCATAGACAGTCTCATTAAACTAATAGACAATCAATGGAAAGTTTATGTAATAGCGAAATATAAGATAGCGAAACAAACCTGTGTGTGTGTGTGTGTTTAGCTATACTCCTAAAGGGCTCAGTTGTCCTTATCTAGTGAGATATTAAAACAACACACTATGAGGACATCTCACTTTTCCACACTAACTAAAAGCGCTTATAAGTCTACATGTTTTTATTGGTATGTATTAAAGGGTCACGAAACACATTTTTTGAGCTGTTGACAGTCGTATATGTGTCCCACACTGCTAAAAACACTATTAGGACACCTATATTTCACTAAAAAGTGTAAATTGGTTGTTTTTGCGTTATTTCAAGCAAATTCGTACTTCCTGTTTGAAACGAATTTTTGAAGCTGCGTCACGGTCATGACATAATAGCGTGTATTCCAGCGTGCAGACTGGGCGTCTGTGCCAGAGTGAGTCTTATTACGTCTTACAGTGTGATGCATTAATGCATGAGTAAAGCTTGGTTCAAACCAATCAGCGCGCTCTATTGTGCAACTTCATTAATATTCATTACTGTCAGAGTGTAGATGGCAGAGACGTCACGTTGTGTTGGCAAAACAAGCGTGAAGTGTTGCTTTTATAGTTTGCTGCAGTTAAGTTTCGTTTTCATTTTCTCTCTGTGAGAGCTCAGCTGGATCATGTGTGGATTAACAGTGTACGCGACGCTCGACAACAATAACTTACGTGTCTAAGGAGGAACATTGTTTACCTGAGAGCTGTTCTCATCTGCAAACGCTGAGATCCGGATTTGCTTGTAACGTTAGTCTCCTCTTCATAAAGACGCGGCTCTAGTTGCTGGTGATTGTCCTGTCTCTACAGATTTGGTAAGTGAGCGACCAGTGCTCTTTGTTTATTCAGTTTGTTCGTATCAAATTAAGTTAACTATTGCACTGAGTGCAAACATGTTAGCACCGCATTTAGTGACCGGAATAACTCACGCGGCTTTCTGACGCTACCTGCCGTGTGCATCTAAGTTTCCGGGAAATGCAGAGTTTTTTTTTCTCTCATTCGCCGTGCGGTATCAAACATTGCATGAAAAATACACGCTTAGAGCAGCACCTCGAATCAAATATCGCGTTTGTCGCGAGGGGCATGAATGAATTCCCTGAATGAAAGAGCCAAACTGCAGTTAAAGTCCACCATTTAATAATTTGGCAAATAATTCGACTACAGATGTCCATGTAGGTTAAACACCATCACTTTCTCATGTGTGTGTGTTTTGACTGAAACTCGCGTGTGCCCAAATAGACACTCCCACACCCTCCCACTTTAGTTCCTCCGACACTCCCCCCTAAACAGAGCTGGACACGCCCACTTTTCTGACTTTTTCCAAAGTAGAGGTGTGAAAACACCCTGCTGAAACGAGGGGGTTTCATGGCCCTTTAATCTGCAGCTGTTTCTATGAGGGGTTAGGACTAGGTCTAAGTAACTAAGTCTATGTAAAGTCCTCACTAAGATAGTGAAACAAACCTGTGTGTGTCTGCGTGGTGAAAATGATGGGTGTGTGTGTGGGAGACTCACTGGGTGAAAGGCTGAAGCCGGAGGCGCTGGCGCTGCTGGAGCCGCTGCTGGACGCGGTGGAGACCACAGACGAGGGCAGATTCAGCAGGTTCGGGAACTGGAAGGGGAGAGAGACGGGAACCAGACCTCCTAACATCCCGAATCCCAGAGGCAGAGCTGGAGCCGCAGAGCCCAGCAGAGCAGAGGACGACGACACCTGAACACAGACATGGCAGAATCATTTAGAAACCATATATACAAATGACAAGGTTAATGGTTTAAAGGTCTAAACCTGGCATTGTCTGCAAGAACACCATATTGCCTGTGTCCACTGGCCTAGATTTACACAGTTGAGCCAGAATTATTAGCCCCCCTTTGAATTATTATTATTTATTTAGTATTTCCCAAATGATGTTTAACAGAGTCAGGAAATTTTCACAGTATGTCTGAAAATATTTTTTCTTCTGAAGAAAGTCTTATTTGTTTTATTTCAGCTAGAATAAAATCAGTTTTTAATTTTTTAAACACCATTTTAAGGTCAATATTATTAGCCTCTTTAGGCTAATTTATTTTTTGACTGTCTACAGAACTAAAATTCTTTACACAATGACTTGCCTAATTACCCTAGCCTACCTAGTTAACCTAATTCAGCCTTTAAATGTCACTTTAAGCTGTATAGAAGTGTCTTGAAAAATATCAAGTCAAATATTATTTACTGTTATCATGACAAATATGAAATAAATCAGTTATTAGAGATGAGTTATTAAAACTATTATGTTTATAAATGTGTTTAAAAAATCTGCTCTCCGTTAAACAGAAATTGGGGAAAAATAAACAGGGGGGACTAATAATTCAGGGGGGCTAATAATACTGACTTCAACAGTATGTGTAACATTGTTATCCTATGTATAATACTGGAGAAACTGATGTAATAATGCTTTTAAAATCTTTTTTTTGTTTTTTCTGTCTTTATAAATGTTGTTGATTTTGTATTGCTCTGTGTTGCTTTAAGGTCGAAATAAAAATATAATATAAAAAAAGAAACCATATATAGGTGAGGGGGAAACACTTCTGTGGGTGTCAGAAAAAAAAAAGCCACAATAACATGTAGGGATGCAACAATTAACCGGTTTCACTATTAACCGCGATTTAATTCGTCACGGTTAATTAATCGTGCTTAAAAGTGCTCGTAAAATTAAAGGCTTGTCAACACCATGTTTTTGCACAGAACAAAACTGCAGCAACTAAAAGTTATGCCAACTGTGCGCTAGTTTGTACACCAAGATTAATAACCGCGCACACCGGACTAACTATGAGGCTATTAATTAAGGCAAGCTCATTCAAGTCCGTTGTTTTCAATGGAGGGAAGCGCACGCAACTCAACGCACCTAGTTGAGATGACAGGGGGCTTTTGTGACTGTGAGAACTGAAAACAGCTGAAGTTTGAGAAAGAAGCAATGGAAAGTACACAGATTTGCAAACCCACTTAAATTTACGCCACAAAGAATGGCGCCAATGATATCGAGCATGTGGTGAGTGCTGATGAACCAGCCAAGATCAATCGAGCATTTTCAGAGAGAGTGCTGAAAGACTTAAGCCTGTTTCACACCGCAAGTGTGAGCAGCACATGTTTTTTTTTTTTTGGCGTCCATGTTAACAGATTAAGCTTTCAAACTGCACGCAGCAGCAGCGTGTCTGCGCGAGGCGAGAACTTCACTGAAGCAGTAGTGCCGTGAAAGTTTTGGCAGTGGGTCTATTTTTGCCATGTAGAGGTCTGCATTCCCGCGGCTGTCCCGCGGGCGCTGCGGGACCCGACCAGATTTCTACAGCGCGGGTATAAATTTCCGAATAAATCACGGGAGCGGTCGGTAGCGGGTTTAATTTGGGACGGGAGCGGGCTGTCTAGCAATATCGCTCCCAACTCCCGAGAGAGCACGCGTATGTATGTGTGTAAATGAAATAGCGCGATGCTGTGTTTGGCTTGTTTGTTGCAGTGTGTGTGTGTATGTATGCGCACACGCGAATGAGAGGTGTGTGTGTGTGTGTGTGTGTGTGTGTGCGCGATAGAGCTTTGCCTGTGTTTGTGCTTGATGCTTATGAGTGTGTGTTAGAGGGCGCACGCACGCGCGCGCGAATGAGAGAGAAAGCTTTATCTGTGTGTGTGTGTGTGTGTGTGTATGTGTGTGCTTGGTGCTGTGCGTGTGTGTGTTTATACAGACAGCTTGTTATAGGCTGTCTGGACTGTATAACTTGGTGATTTTCGGTTTTGTTCTCCCCCCGCTCTTTAGCGGGATCGGGCGCAGCGGATAGAAAACGGGGCGGGTCGGGCAGCGGGACATCAAGTGCTTAATATAAGCGGGAGCGGTCGGGTTCCGGCTAAAACCTGGCGGGTGCGGGCGGGAGCGGGGTTCAAAATTTAGTCCCGCGCAGATCTCTATTGCCATGCTGCACACGCTTATTTAACAATGCATTGATAATGACCAAAACACATCGATTGACAGTAAAAAGTAGCAATTTTACCCAATAAAAACATCAATAAAATCCACAGATTTTTATAACGTCAATAAAATGAACTTTTAAAATTCCAACAAATATTTATTTAGGCCCAAACTACAAAACCAAACTTAAAATAATTTTAGTTTTAAACTAGTGGCGAAATTAATTAATGCAAATAATCATAATAACCGTAAAACTGTGATTATTTCTTAGACTATAATCGTACAACCAAAACTTATAATCAGTGCATCCCTACTCGCATGAAAATAATCTTAGATCTGCTTTATAAAGCTGTCTAAAGCATAAAGCAGTCGGTGATTACAACATAAAAATAAAGAGATTAAATAGAGAAATTAAATAATAAATTAATTAATTAATTAAAACATTCAAATGAAAGAAAAAAAAATTTGAATTCATAAACATGCACACAGAAATGCACATTATTTTAGTTTAATTGTAATTAATAAATAAAATAAAACTGTATAATAAAATAAACCTGTAAAATAACGTAAAACCCATACTAAAAGTCATTTGTTCATACTTCATACATTTGTTCAAGCGTATTTTGATGTTTATTACAATTATAAAATACAGTTTTATTTAGAAAATTTGTTTTATTTCTTGGCGTTTAGTGCCAAAATCAGTTTAAATTGATGCACTTCGTTAACAATAAAGCAAAACAACAATACTGTTACCCTGATGACGGCACATTCTTGCCGAAACGCGTAGGCTTTTTAGGATTTAGCCATGTGAATAAAGGCTTTTTAAATTTTCCACATATTTTGAGTGCCTTGGATTGATTCCTGTTGTTGTTTTGAAAAAATAAATAACATTTTAAAATTAAATTATTCATAATAAAGGGACTAAATTAAACGTGAAACTATATTTAAAATATATTTTTATTAATTTAATTAAATCTGAATAAAAAAACATTTTAAAATGAAGGTATACAAATAGAATGTAAATATAAATAAATTTAAATAAAAAAATTTTTTAACACTGTAAATCCCCAAAAGTTAAGGCTCAAACTATTTGAGGAAACCGATTGCAACAAACCATTTGAGTTAAAAAACTAATCCTCATGAGTACTGTGAACTAGGGTTGGGCAATGTCCACCAATTTGGCATCGTACGATGTCTTATGTTAAACATTGCGATGGACGATGGCATTGTCGTCATAGGCGGAGGTGAATTATTTATTTACGAATAATTAATTAATTCATAACATTAATTAGTTGTAGCCTACCCTTTCAACTACCTGACCAGCATGGTCTTTGTTCTACCCATAAACAAATCATAATTAAATAAAGATAAGCTGCACAGAAATTACCACCTGTCAATCACTTTTTCCGCGGGAGGTTGTTCGGTAAAAAAGGTGCAAAACCAACAATATCTGAGGTTTTCACTAAAATTAATAAGCACAAGTGTGAAAGTGAAAGACTGAAGCAGTGTACTGATGCTGTGACACGTTACCTGATAGATTCAAAAGACCGAAGAGTCGTTAGATAGAGACGAGATTAATTAAATATCACGGTTAACAACTATAGTGAGACGTCATCCAGCGGTACATCCTTGATAAACTGTCTGACGTGCACTGCTCTCTGGAGCTCAGATGAGCGCACGACAGTGTGTGTGGCTGTGTGTGGTCACGTGATGTGCGTTTTCTGCAGAGGGCTGTTCAGAAATGCTAGGTAAAACACGGTGTGGATGTGGATCATATTCATTCTTAAATGCCATTTTAATACTAAGACCTATTAGTGTAAACGGGGCCTGAGTGTGTATTTTTCGCGAGCGGGTTTGCGACGGGGACGGAAGATCGGCGATGCCGGCTCAGCATTGTGTTGTCTATAGAGTGGAGGAACTATGACGTCAATTTGTATGCAAAAACCCGGAAGCGAGATAGCTTTTTAGCAGTTCCGGTTTCCTCGTCCCAAAGTCAATGGGTTTTTTTGAATGGGATTTCAGTAAAAAAAAAAATTAAAAAAAAAAAAAAAAAAAAAAAAAAAAAAAAAAAAATCGCTAACTAAAGGCTGATTTATACTTCTGCGTCAAACGCCGGCGTATGCTATGGCGTTGATGCATAGCCCTTCGCAGTGGCCGTCACTGATGAGCACCTCTCAAAAAATGTAACTACACGTCGCAACGACGCGTAGCGTAAGCTCTGTGATTGGTCGGCTTGGTAGCGCTGACGAATCTGGGCGGGACCGAGAGCCGTGCGAATGGTGCGAGCCTGATGGAGCGATGGTTCACAAGTGTGGAGTCCCGTGAAGGAGCTCCGGATGGAAAGTTTTGTTTTGTGTTTACCTCATAGTTAAAGTTGTTGCACGTCTGCCGGTTCCTGCCTCAAAATGAGCGAGTTTAAGCCACTTGTACATCCAGCAAGTGTTCAGGAAAAGCAAAACAGCAGCGAAGAAACTCGACACAGAGGAACATTTACACCTCACTGCCAACTAGCGTTTCGGAAGTGTTAATGCAGACCAACAGAGACAGTGCGCAGAAGTATAAATGCACAACCAAGCGTTACATGCGCCGTGGGTTACGCCGGTCACTTGACGCAGAAGTATAAACCAGGCTTTAGGTTCGTGGCTAACACAAACTCAAGATACTTTCACGTTTTGTTCTACGACAAAAAACACATCAGTTACAGCACACTCTTGATTTATTAAATCGGTTATGCTTCTTTAAAAAGACGGTTGCTATCAAGTTGCTAAATGGGACTACAGGCGGTGTCGGAGCCATTAGACGCCATCGAGCTGAACTGGTCTGGAGCGCAGCTCGCTTGTGTTGAGCATTTGGATTCTGTTATTAAAGTATTTTCATGAATAGTATTTTGTAGTTTGTAGTATTTTTCTAATTGGGAATTCAGATTGTGTGTAGATAATTCCTTTACATGTAAAGGATGTCGAGGCAGATTCATTTGTTGATCATTTATTTTAAATTAACAATATTATGAGGATACAGCTTACCAGTGCAGCCTGTCTCTGTCCTGCTCTCAGTAATGCAAACGTGTGAATTAATGTATAATGTAATAAACAGAGATTAACTGTCATGGAGCATATTTCTAACAATAAGCTTGATAAGTTGTCTGTGGGGCTGACGTCACAGGCGAGCACCCCGAGGGCAGCGCAGTCCGTTTATAGCCTAAAGTTAGCTTTTCAATTCTTGCACTTTCATTTAAGATCCAAAAGTGCTCAAAGTTGTATTTCCGTGCGAGGATTATCCGGCTGGACAAAACATGTAAGTGTAGTGAACAGTGTTTGAACACAGAGCTTATTATTTGCAATCTTCGGAAAGCCTATGAACAACTCCTGTAGGGATTTTATCGAGGGAACCAGTTTCATGCTAGCAGTCGATTAGCCTACAAGGTGACTTCATAGTTCCTCCACTCTATTGGCCCGACCCTACTGTGAACTTTATCCATTTGAGTACATGAAGTAATATAAGCACAGTAAAACCCAATAAATGAAGAGAACTCAAACCATCTGACTACTGTAAAACTCAAGTTAAAGCAACTCAAACGGTAGGAGAAAATCAATTGCTACAAATAATAATAATAATAACAATACAAATAACAATAATTAAATAGTTATGAGAATTTCACGAACATTTAATAATGTACAAACATATTCATAACTATATCTATATTACCTGTGCGAGTGGAGAGACAGATGTGGCTGTGGACACTGATGTGATTGTCTTCACCCCCTGATTGGCTCCTCCCACTGGTCGGAGTCTCTGGCTGTGATTAGCTGTTGCAACCGGTGTGGGCGGAGAACTGACAGGTAGCTGTTTAACAGCGCTGCTCTGCACAGACAGGCTGGAGACGCTGTTGCCCTGAGAGGAGCTCTTTTGCGCCGTGGGGGCGCTGTAACCCCCTGCCACGTACCCCGGGTGGAACCCTGCGCTCTTAGAGGCGGTGTGCTGGTGCATGCTGGGTAATGCAGTGGGCCTGGAGACCGGCGAGGCGGTGGGCGTGAGCTTAATGATGTTTGAACTGGGGTTATGCGGTGATTTAGTGATGGTGGCCTGCATGGGCGTGATGAAGCCCGGTTTGGGAGCCTCGTGGTTTTTGGTGACGTGGAAAGGCGCTGTGGGTTTAACGTTAATAACGGAGGAAGCGTTCGGAAGAGCACGCGGCTGAGGTGATGCACTATTGCTGGATTTGATGAGACCCGCAGGAAGAGTGACTACAGTTTTATTTGTGATCTTTTGAGGCGCGTGAAGGGGCGAGGCTGTAGGAGGTGGGCGGGGCTTTGCGGGAGACACGCCTATTTTTGTGGGCTGGGCGACCGTTGGTCGCTGGGTGGGAATAACTGAAGGTCTTTGAACTTGTGATAAGACGCTGACGCCTTTAACAGATGGAGATGAGGAGGAGAGGATGCTGGGAGATGGAGGTGGTGGGGGGGTGTTGGTGCTTTTCTTGGCCTGCTGTGGAGGCGCAGGTTTGGGTGGGTCGCTGGACGGTAGGCTGTCGGACTGCACCAGGTCTTTGGCGGCGCTGCTGAGCATGGCCAGCGCATGAGAGATGGAGTCCAGAGACGGAGCTATCAGATCGTCATCCAGAGAGTCCGACAGGCAGATGGGCTCCGGCGGGGATGGTTGTGGTCGCGGGATGGCAGGGGTGGAGGGGGTCTGCGAGGGGGTGTCCACTGAGACGGGCGGCCGCTGGAGCACACCGCTGTCCTGAGGCTTGGGTTTGGCTTTCGGAGTAGGTAGCACCCGTTTCTTCACTCTGAAGGAAAGGAAAAAAGGTTTTCAGTAAGTCGAGAAAGCAACAAAAATAATCATAAGAAGTTATAGTCCTGCAAGTTATTCATATAGTGCCTTTCCTGTGTTTAAAGACACTACAAACAGTAGGAGAACCAGACAAACAATACTTATTAAAAGGTAGAAACAAAAAAAACAGACTAAGACCTTGATCACACCAATGTGTTTTTTGTGTTGAGAGTAGGGTTGTCATGATACTGGAATTCTGTACCAATTGATACTGAAATTTTAGAAACGTTTATTTCAGATACAGGGACACTGGAGCGCTTTAAAGCCCCAATTCATCAGCGGATCGCTCGTATGTCAGCTTAGACAAACCAGTTGAGCAATGGGACTTTGCACTGGACAGTGAACTGATGCCGACCAATCACAGTTATTTCACACAATGGCAAATCAGCGCTGTGTAATAACGTGCTTATCAGTGTTCAAATGTTAGCGGGAATGGACAATATTAAAATTTCACTGTCGATTGGTCTCTAATTTTAATATTGTGACAACCCTAGTCTTTTTTTTGGTTTTCAAATGCCCGCGAGTGTCTTGCGCTTTGCTTTTGCACCCTACGCACCTCGCAGTTTAACTGCCTGCGGAGTCTCGCGTTTCTGTCGTTGTGCTCTGTGTCTACAGTTTAAAAACTCTGAGCAGAAAAAGCGTGCTACGTCAGCCTTTTTGCATTGTCCAATCAAAAGAAAGCAGAGGCCGGGTTTCCATGAGGTGAAAGCTGTGTTTGTGTTGTGTTTTAAAGATGGTGTAGAGATTAGTGGTCACCATACCTGACAAAAATGAGATGTGAAAATAAGGGGTACACCACCCGCTAAAATTGGTTGTTTTTTAAAGAAAAATCACCAAGATCAACATGTTTAGATATTGTTATTATTATTATTATGTGTATATGTGTGGTCAAACACGCACTCAAAACATAGTGTCCACTTTCGCACTGCTTCAAAACGCATGTACAGAATCCATTTGGGAAATAATCTGCCAATGGAGTAAGCTAAATAATCTTATGTCAAAAGGAATAGCAAGATTATTTTGCTTACCCCATTGCCTGTATATTTTGCTTGTTTTAAGGGAAAACTCAGTTAACATTGGCATATTATTTCTTTAAACAAGGCATTTTGTTTTGCGTGTCTAGAAAATGCTTCTTGATTTAAAGGGCACCAATGGTGAAAAATCTTCTTATCCAGCTGTTTGGACAGACATGTGTGTAAGTATAGCGTATAGACCGTCATATTGGAGTGATATAAACACATCCAGTCCATTTTTTTTGGTTATCAATAACAATATTGGCATATCATTTCTTAAAGCAAGAACAGATGTTTCGCTTCTCTAGAAAATGCTCCCTGATATAAGAATTTTTGGATATTTGGACTAGAAACAAGACAAAAAAAAAAAAATCTTATAAAAGCATCTTTTGCAATGAAAATGATGACAGAATTGTCATTTTCAGGGGGAAATATACTATTATAACAAATAATTACAACAACAACAATAACAAAAAGGAAGACTTTGTTCATACAATCACACACATGCATGCATTGGCTGCAAGTGTGTACATCTAAGACTACAACATTGGCATGTTATTTAACCCTTTTATTAGAGAATCACAATTTTTTTTAGGTTACAGAATAGAGCGCATTGAATTAACCCTCTCAAGGCAGGCGTTGCTGATTTGCAACAGTTAAAAATTAACTACCTTATTACTCCAGATACATATTTTCTGAGTTTTTTTTACTCAGAAGTACCAGGACTTGGTTGTCCTTTAGCAACAAACAGTTTCCCCACTTGCTCACCAGATGACGCACACACAAAAAAAGTTTCTTGGACTACCACATGACAAAGTGACTTGGAAACATGACCTCCTCAATGAGGATTTGAGATATTGGATTTGGATCCCATATTGTTTATGTTGTTGTTCTGCCACTGAAAAGCAATTCGTTACATTGTTTGAAAAGTTGTATATAAAAAGGTAGTGTTCATATCATATTCAATCGTCAGTAGGGTTGTAACAATATACCGGTATGACGGTTTACCACGATTTGAACGTGCACGATTATCATACCATGAACAATTGCATATCAACGGTTTTAACCCTTAAAGACCGAGACAGCCGCCCGCGGCTAAAAATAAGTATTGCTCTTAAATGTTTAATAACTTTTGATCCGCTGATCCGATTCATACAATTCAAAGATTGGCATAAAGAAGAGAATCTCAGCTTCAGTGCTGTATCACATAACATTCGCGGACTTTCAGAGGCTCCGGAATCAGTGCGGTTACGTCATCAACATTTGACAACGCTGATTTGACAAAGAAACGCTCGTCACTGTGTCTCCGGACAAACCAGACATGATACATTGATGCATTGTCCCTCCTCCATGCCCAGATTGGTTCAAACTCGCTATATCACAACCAATAAGCATAGGTTTCGCTTTTGTTTGTGGACCAACAATGAGCTTTTTGAACAACACAGAATGAGAGATAGGCTTTACATTTATGCGCGGCTAAATAAAACGCAAAAAAAAAAAAGTTTTGCATGAAATAATTCTCATACTAAGTACTTTTGCATGCACAGCAGCACAGAAACATGACAAAACAGTGACACAGCAAAGACGAACTGCTGCTCTTGCTGTTTTCAAAAGACACAAATGAAGGTGCAGCTGTTTGTCTGCATTGCAGACAACCATATCCAAATCCATATCCACAGACAACCATATCCATGCTGGCACATAAAACCTAAAGATGTTCCATATTGAATCTAGTTTCGTTATGTAACTATTTATAGTATAGTAAATATTTATATCTATTTTTTTACTGAGGATTTGCACCATGTTTATTTGGACTTTGACACATTATTTATTATTTTCTTATTTTTATTTGTTCATTGTAAGTGGTGTTGTTTATAGTAACTAAAAATATATTATTTGGAAAAAGTCAAATTTGCTTCACTGTTCTATTATTTTGTAACATTTGTAACATACCGTATACCGCGAAACCGTCAAACCGTGGTATTGTTTTAGACGATTATCATACCGTAAAAAATTTATATCGTTACAACCCTAATCGTCAGTGTCTAATTACTACACTTGGCCAATGTTGCAAATCTGCAACATCCCAGAACACCTTGCATGTGAAGGTCTCTCTAAAAAAAAAAAAAAAAGTCAGGATTCTATTGTACTACCCCATATGATAATTTTCCCTAAATATCAGATTTTTCCTGTTTTTAGAAATTAATTTGAGCCTGAGAGGGTTAAATAAAATATCTAAACACTGTATGAATTACTGCAGCTCTCAATTTCTCATGCAGTGTTCAGCGCCATTTGTGGAAAATGAATGGAAAAGACTTCACTAGACAAAGGGGTGCAACTTCACGGTCATCATACTTAACCTAAAATCCCTTCAAAAACGTAAAGATGTAACACTGATAACAGAATCAATATGAAGACTAACATTTATAAGCACCTGAATGGTACACAATAATGAAGGTGCACTATCACAAGTAAGTGGGTCAGCCTCATCATCTGGTTAGTGTGCAGAAATAACCACTTCCCTTGTGGAGAGGAGAAACTTACGTGTTTGCCGTGAGGTGATTGTGAGCTAAACGACTCTCCTTAATCAACATCCTGGAGAACAGAGAGAAATGAAGAGTTTTACTGGGTCAGTTTTATGCACAGAAGCCTCTAAAAAGGAGCACAAACACACCTGGCCTGCATCCATCCTTTGGGCCAGAGAGGCTTGACCTCGGTCTCCATGAAGACCTTCAGGTAATCTTCAGGAGAGAGTGAACTCTGAGCCTCAAGCTCGTAACAGCTCAGCTTCACCCGCACGAGATTACACAGCAGAGTCCTGCGCAAACACACACAGAGGGAGAGGGGTAGAGAGAGAGAGAGAGATTAAGGTCTTGTGGAAATCAGTGTCTTATGTGCATTACATTGTTTCCCACAAATAGGCAAGGGACGATAGCTGGTTCCAAGGTTTTCCATGCTATACAATCAGGGGCAGACTGGGCATCTGGCAGACTGGGCAGTTTACCGCTGGGCTGACGTACTTTTTGGGCCGGGCTGATCATCATCTTAGATCTGATCGGCCTATAAACGGCTTAGCAGCCTATAGTGTTTTTTTTGCCTTATTAATTGACGATGCTGTGATCACTGATCTGTGACTCTCTGAAAGTAAGATGCTTTTTTTTCTGACAGGCGGGGCGGCCCATGTGACACTCTGCAGCCCATTGATTCTTTTCTTTGTTGACATTGGGCTGGCCCAATCACGAACTCCTAGTGGCTGTTTCTCAATATGCGTTCTTCAGCGGTCTTGCGTCCTCGTGTTCTCGTGAAACGTCATCATCAGCTGCTTAAGTTCAGTTCCAATACTCAAGACTGCAAGTACGGAGGACGCGTGAAACTTCCCGGATGTGTTCTTGATATCGAGGACGCACTGATGCAGACTTGAGCACCGAACTCGCTCTGGAAGTCCCAGAAGTCATTGCGACTGGAGGTGGGAAGCGCTGCATTTTATTTAGATTTATAATTAAAGTTCATAGATATAAACTATTTACCTCAGGAGTTTCTCTAAATGAAACGGTGAAAGTAAACATTAACATGAATATCTTAATAAAGGAATAAACACATTAAGGGTGTTTGTTTGCTGAAATTCGTATTAAAATCTGTTTTATTTATATTGTGCAGAGTATATTTATAATGTTTTTATGCAAAGTATATATTTTGAAAAGGGGAAAAAGCAATAAATCGTTGTATGAAGGCTGTAATGTTTAAATAATTTACCATTTAAAACACGTGAAGGTCATGTGACCATCAGGAAGAACGCAGCATCCCATTTCTCAAAGGACGCGTTCTCTGCCCTCGCGGTCTCCTGAGTTCGTTCTTCCGAGGACACCTGGCAAGACCGCACTCTACAAGAACGCAAGTCCGTTCTCTGCGTTCTTGGAATTGAAAAACAGCCAGTATTTTGGGGCTCTGTGTGAGCGTGCAACGTTGGTGTGCATTTGTCAAAACAGTGGAAAGTCAGAGAGAAGAAATGGAGGGGAGGCGCAGAGAAATCGCGGGAAACACACTGCCGTTTCATTAAGCGGTTGTGAAAAGTTCTCTGTTCATTCTAGTACACGGCTAAAAACGCAAATCACGTGACCACACACATACTGCACACACTCTGCCGAGAGCTGCAGCCAGTAGTTCAGCTGGTGCCTCGAGTATAAACCCGAAGTGAGAGAATAGTGCATGTCGGACAGTTCAAAGATCTACTGCTGGATCTCATCTCACTATAGTTGTTAAACTTGATACTGAATTCATCTTCTTGTCTCTATCTAACAACTCTTCGGTCTTTTTTAATCACTTGTTCTCAGGTAACTCTGTTTTGGCTGAGTGCAAAAAAAGCTAATATATTAATTTATGTAACCACTTACACTGATTCTGCACATTGATTGATTGCTTGTCTTAATCGTATACATTTATTGTGAGTTATACTGTTATAATGGCCATTATTGATTATTAAAACCGATATTCTGCAAAAGACACGGGGTAAAGTTTGTTCTTTTCAATGAAAATGAAAGGAGACAGTTATGTTTAAGCCATGTTTTGTTATAAATATGCAGAGTGGAGATGACGCTCATATAAATATGCAGCTACACGAGGCTGTTTGCTGTCTGTTAATCATAATATCAAAATGAAACAAATTTACTTATGGTTTTTTTTTAAACAGCAAGCAGGATGAGGTGAATGAGGTTATAATGTACACTGTTCTCTTCGAAGATTTACTCATGCATTAGCAGGCAGTTTTTGTTATGTTTATTATTTAATATAGACTGAGTGAATAGTGTATTGAATCAGCTAAATTGGCTGTAGTGTATGAGTGTGTGTGTGTGTGTGTGTGTGTGTGTGTGTGTGTGTGTGTGTGTGTGTGTGCGTGTGTGTATGAGTTTGCATGGGTGATTTCCGATACTGGGTTGTGGCTGGAAGGGCATCTGCTGCATAAAACATGCTGGAATAGTTGGCAGTTCATTCCGCTGTGGCAACCCCTAATAAATAAGGGACTAAGGCGAAGGAAAATAAATGAATGAATAGTGTATTTTTTAGAACTCAACAAACTCCCTGCAGTTTGCTTATAGGGCCAACAGGAGCACTGTGGATGCCTCTCTTACTCTTTTGAACAAAGTTCAACATCATCTAGATAGGCCAAATATGTATGTTAGAATAATTTTTATGGATTTATCAGCTGCTTTTAATACTGTTCAACCTAATCTTCTTTTAGAACGTCTTTATAATTTAGGAGTAAGTTACTGGTTGATTATATGGATCAGAGAGTTTTTAAAAAAACGACCACAACGTGTCTGTGTTAATCATGCTATGTCTGACTGCTCGGTTTTAAATATAGGGGTACCTCAGGGATGTGTACTATCACCTCTTTTATTTTCTATATATATTAATGAACTGCAGTACAATATTGATGACAATCTCACACTCATAAAATATGCTGATGATCTGGCATTGGTTTCATGTCAGGAAGAAATGAACAGCTCTTTATATTTTAGATATATTGATAGTATTATAGATTGGTTTGGCAAAAGTTCATTACACCTAAATATTGGGAAAACAAAAGAGTTATGTCTGGGGAGTCAAACAAGAAGAGTAGATACTGGACTCTTTAAACCAGTCACCATAAACGGACAAATAGTAGAGCAGGTTTCAAATTTCAAGTATTTAGACACAATTATTGACAATAAATTGAATTTTAATAGTAATGTAGAGGCGGTTTATAAGAAAGCAAGTCAGCGCCTCTATCTCCTCCGCAAATTGAGAAGTTTTAATGTTAGTACACAGACTTTAAACTTGGCATATAGATCACTTATAGAGAGTGTTCTTACATATAATATTGTTTCATGGTTTGGTAACACAACACTTAAACAGAAAAAGAAATTAGCGCAAATTATCAATCAGGCAAATAAGATAACTGGTCACAAACAGCATTCATTGCAGATTTTATTTGACTCTTTTATGGAAAAAAGAGCAGTTGTGATTTTTAAAGATAATACACACCCCCTTCACTCAGCATTTGAATTGCTACCATCAGGACGCAGGTTTAGAATTCCTAAAGCACGAAGAAATGCCTATAAAAAGTCATTTATCCCAATGGCAGTTGTTGTTCTAAACCGGATCAATGTTTGTAGTGAATGAGGTGGTTACCAAGTATGATTTGCAGTATTGTGTATGGGGCTAATTTGGTTTTTAAACTTTTAACTTATGTTGTTGTGTTGATAAGTGTTATTGTGTCGTTGTTGTATGTTTGTAATTGTTGTCCTAAATCCAGTGTTGAAGAAAAATTTCCTTTCTGTGTCAAGCAGAACGGACAATAAAAGTTTAAAGTTTAAACTAAATCTTTATGGACAGTTTACAGAAATTAAATTGAGATTAATGTTTGTATTTATCTATTTATTTAATATATATATATATATATATATATATATATATATATATATATATATATATATATATATATATATATATATATATATGGCTTTTGTGTTTTTATAAAATAGGAGTTGATTAACATATTGGACATGCACAGATAGATAGCATTTTGATTGAATGTAGTGGGCCACTCTGGCCCAAAATGCCAGGGCTGATTTTTTGCCCCAGTCCAGGCCTGTATACAATAGCTGTTATTATGGATTATAGACCTTTTTTCTAGCTATCTAGCCCTTCCCCTTAGCCTTCAGCCTTCAAGCTAAAGAGAATCAGGACACCGCTACCCCTTTACATGAATGCACAAAACGAAGGGTAGGAGTAGGAGGAAGGGCTAAGGGGTGGAATTGAGATTGGGCCCAAGTGTTTACACTCTGCTTTTAATTAAATGAACATCTGCAAATGACGTAGTGCAAAACGAGTACAGAAAGTCAAACTTTTTAGTTCATATAATTCTTAATTTACACAGTAGAACCGTAGGAAATATTTCCCCTCCCTCACCTCACGTCTCTTGAGAGCACAGTAATATTTTAGGTGATGAAGCAAGAAATCAAGCGGCATGTCGGTTAACCGTGCATATATAGCACTTCATAACAGGGACGTTAAGGATTACTCTGTTTTAGGTAACCCTTTCAATAGATAGACCTCATCAAGACATATTAAGCGTAGACATTAATAGGATAAGTTATGGCTTGCGCTGTGAGATGCGTCCATGATTTTACACATTACAGTAATAATCAAGTGTGCACAGGTTTAGGTGAGTTGACCTTCACCTGAGTTTGTCGTCCCACACAAACTTCTTCCTGGGTCCCATCACTCGTTTTCCAGGCTTCTCATCGTCCTCCTCCTCTGAGCCATTCCTGTCGAAGTCTTCAGTCTGCTGCCTGCACAAACACAACACTGATGTCATGTCTACACTAATAGGCGTATTTTCTCTCTATTTCGGCCTCTGTCCACGCTAAAACGGCATTTCAAAGAAAATGAAAATGCATCTTTTTATAAAGGATGTCCAAAGTGGATTAATCTGAAAACGTTGTTTTTGTGCTGCAGTGTATAAACTGTGAAAATGGAGGTTTTCGAAAACAATGACACACTTTAGTCATCAGTGCAGTTGTTCAATCTAAATTGATTCATCTACAACCAAAGGGGCCACAAAGAGAAATATGTATTTAAGTCATTTTTTGATCTTATTTTACCAAACTAAACTGCATTACCTTTTAGATGACTGAAAACGTCTTGACAACACATGAGTAAATTATAGCGCTGTGAATAATAGTTGCAAAGTATACAGATTAAAACTGACAAACACTCAGATCGCTAAGTAGACTATTTTATTATCATCTTTTCTAATATACAGTTGAAGTCAGAATTAGTAGCCATCCTGAATTATTAGCCCCCTGTATATTTTTTCCCCAATTACAGAAGTTTTGTTTCAACAGTTTTGTTTCAGCACATTTCTAATCGTAATAGTTTTAATAACCCATTTCTAATAACCGATGTATTTTATCTTGAGCATGACGACAGTAAATAATATTTGACTAAATATTTTCGAGATACTAGAATTCAGCTTAAAGTGACATTTAAAGGGTTAACTAGGTTCATTAGGGAGGTTAGGGTAATTAGGCAAGCCATTGTACAACTGTGGTTTGTTCTGTAGAAAATCAAAACAAATATTGTTTAAAATGCTTAAAATTATCTAAAAATGTTAAAAATTGCTTTTATTCTTGCCAAAAAACAAACAAACAAGACTTTCTCCAGAAGAAAAAATATTATCAGACATCCTGTGAAAATTTTCTTGCTCTTTTAAATAGGGGTGTCAAAATTAATCGTTTCTTCGGTGCACCGCGATGCAGACGCGGACAATTCGGTATCGGTTCAGTAATAATCATAACCGGTTATTACTGACGTCATTTACCTCATTTGCGATCTGTCGCGAGGGAGGTGATCGCGAGTATTTACGACGCTCTAACTATTTAAAAGTCATAAACTGTGCACAATTTCACCGTGTGTGTTTGCTGGATCAGTCTTTCACTGACATATACAACAAAAGCCCCATATTTCACTGAGATCGAGAGAATGAAAGCACTCCATTTCTTTCTTTCTTTCTTTCTCTCTCTCTCTCTTGCACGCACGCACGCACGCACGCACGCACACACACACACACACACAGTGCCCCTTTGACCTGCAGGCGTGGCTTTTCTTCTCCTCTCGGCTGTTTTACAGCGTTATTTCTGGATAAAGAAACGAGCGCGCGTCTGCAGAGTTTTCTCCACCGTGTCTATCATACATCAGCTGTGAGATCGCTGCTGCCGCCTGCCACTTATCAGTGTCACTCATCTGTGAAGAGAGCAGCGCGCAAGAGCCAATCGCAACCGTTTTTGTTGAGGGTGTGACCAATCAAAGAGTGTAAGAGAACTAGACAAGGATCAGAAAGTGAGCTGGATATTTATATTTGTTTATATTATTTGCTTAATGCTCGAGTTGGTAAAAAGTACAGTTTATATATCTGACTGTTTGTATTAAAGGACAAAATTTTATTACAAATAATATATAAATATAAATATATTCATACATTTTAATACAAGAACTGCTGCTGTGAAGAAAATATAAAACCGAACCTTGAGACTAGTGTAGGTTCACAGCTCTTCTGTTAAACATCATTTGTGAACTATTTGAATAATTCTGACTTCAACTGTATAAGCTAAGCTTACACTGAAGGAGATTTGAGTTTCCTGCAAATCAGGATAAATACATATGATATGCAGTATTTTTGTAAAAAATTAAATGAATAGTACACGTTAAACAGCTTGAGGAAATAAATGTTCTGCATATTCACGTACATACTGTACATTTAGTGGAATTGAAAGAAAACTGGTCAAATCCTAATAAAAAAAATTCATATGTAATGATCATATTTAAATATGTCAAATGAATGTGATTCAACGTCGGTGCTTTTTGTATAAGGGATTCATAATGATATACAAAAAAAAATTAATAATCTTAAACATATATATGTTTTCACTTTATATTTTAATTTTTTAATCTTTTTTTTTAGTCATGAAACAAATGTTGTGCTAGTCTTGGGTTTCCTATTGTGACGTTTATCTAATAGAAATAGCTTATTGAGTAAAAAAAGAATTATTAGACCGCTTGTTTATCCTCCCTCCTCCCAGATTTCTGTTTAACGGAGAGAAGATTTGTTTAACACATTCCTAATCATAATAGTTTTAATAACTCATTTCTAATAACTGATTTATTTTATCTTTGTCATGATGACAGTAAATAATATTTGACTAGATATTTTTCAAGACACTTTTACACAGCTTAAAGTGTAATTTAAAGGCTGAACTAGGTTAATTAGGTTAACTAGGCAGGTTAGGGTAATTAGGCAAGTCATTGTGTAACAATGGTTTGTTCTGTAGACCAGAGGTTCTCAAAGTGGGGGTCGGGACCCCCCGAGGGGTCGCGGGACAATGAAGGGGGGGGTCGCCTGGTGATTTTCAAAAATCAATAAATTTTTATTAAACCTTAAGGCTTACTGTATTTTATCAATAACCTACTGAAGAGAAAAAAATAGTCGTTTATAGTTACTATAAACTATATAGTTACTATAGTAGCTTATAGTTACTAGTTCTATTGGATTGCGACTTCTCGGGTAATTACATTATACTAAAGACACAGCAATACTGTCAGATGCAGCAGATTTTGTAACACCAGGTTAAACTTTCTAGCCCATTTACAGCACTGACATACATAAAAAAAAAAAACTAAGAATAGACTTGGGTCTATTGGTGTGTTTGTGCGCGTCATTGCATACAAGGTTTCTGTATTTATAACCACCACCTCAGAGAATATTGGGGGTCACGAGTCACTGGCATTGTCATTTTGGGGGTCGCGGGCTGAAAAGTTTGGGAACCCCTGCTGTAGACGATAAAAAAATACCACAACAGGGCTGATAATTTTGACCTTAAAATTAAAAACTGCTTTTATTCTAGCCGAAATAAAACAAATAAGACTTTCTCTAGAAGAAAAAATATTATCAGACATACTGTGAAAATTTCCTTGCTCTGTTAAACATCATTTGGGAAATATTTCAAAAAGAACCACAATTTCAGAGGAGGTTTAATAATTCTGATTTCAACTGTATATTGGGCAGCATATTCCTGTTTATGTGAAACTAATTAGATGGTTTGCTATTGGTGGAACTCATGTGATTGACAGCTTGAACACATCAGTGTAGACCAATCAGAAACGAGGGAGAGCTGTATTCATATGATGAAGAGGCATGATGGTGCACCCATGGAGAAATGTGATGAATATTCCAATATTTTACTGCAAACATTCAGACTCTTACTTGGCGACTTTAGCCATGCAGTCCATGTTGTATCGCGCGATCTGCTCCGGCATCACACTGCACACGGCCAGCTTGAGTTTGAGCAGCGGCGTCCGCAGCCGGTCGTCCTGGATGTTCAGACTCAGCTTCTTCAGACGCTTCAGCAGAGCCTCTTTATTACAGGGCACAAATGCCTCTAGATGAGTGTAAACAGCAGCGCGGATTGGCACGGGCTGCTCCTGCACCTGCAGCTCAATACTACACACACACAGAGAGGGAAATCAGCTGGAAAACACACCAGAAAAAATACAGAAAATAACACAACAGCAGTATGAACTCACTCAAGCAGGATGTTGTTCATGTCCAGCGTGAAAAACTTCTTCCTGCCCTCCATATCAAACAGACGAGACGCCTGAGAGAACAACAAACATTTTATTAATAACTAAAAATCACCCTTAAGTTCACTTTTAAGCCAATTTTAAAGGGGAGCATGAACTACCTCAGTTATATTCAGTACTTTTCTATGAGGTACATTTATAATTTCAAGATTTTTACTTTAAATAAATCATTACTTGGAGATAATTGACCATTTTCGGTGCTGTTTTTGACACTAATTTGAATGATCTGTTTGAATGGGCGTGACCAACTTGAAAGTAAACGCCCACTGCTCTGATTGGCTGTCAGTTTTGCATATTAACAGACATATTTAGAAGTTAAACAGGCTGTAAAGTAGAAGTGGGTGTCGATTTTCAGTGGGGGCGGAGCTTATCCACCTTATTACATCATAGATCAGAGCATTCCTTAAGCTGTGGTTTTATCAGACTGACTTCAATGCGAGCTGATTTTAAAGCAACCACAAATAATTGAGTTCTCAAACTTGCAGGATGCTTTTATAGTACCATAAGCTTTCATATGCAAATAAGAATCAACAGAATTTTAATTTCTCAGCTCATGACCTCTTTCAATCAGAATCCACTGATGACACAGTAATCATGTAGAATGTTAAAACACTGCATATTCTCAGACATCAGTGATAAACTCTCATCTTCTGATTGATGGACACTCTCCAGCTTTCTGTCTGACCTCTTCCTGTTCTCAGATCTCACTGTATTCTGTCTACTTTCTATCTCACTGATCTTCCTCCTACACCTCGCTCTACCTCGTCTCCTCTGTCTTCACCGGAATCTGCCTGTAAAGAAAAGATGACACGCACACACTCAAATATGTGGCTCTGACGGACATAATGCATTTTATACTGTAAAAACAGCTGACTATATGGCCTTAACTGTACCACTACCCCTAAAAGCAACATTCACAGAAATCCTACGGCAAATTTTAAATGTGAAAAAGACATCTTTAAGTCTGATTTTTAAGCACTCTGAATTACAAGAACACAAGGTATGCCCTCCTGAACCACATTAACAGTATAACAACTAGGTCATACCTAGGGCCAGACGGAATCTGCAGACGTTTTTTGCTATTTCTGCTGAGAATTTTGGTAAAAATCTGCGGATTTCTGCAGAATTATTTGGGAGTATCCAGCGGAGTATCAAAACTAAAACCATAATATATGAAACAAAAAGTAATAAATTACTGAATAAAAACTGATTAAATTCAGATTTACAAATTTACTTAAGTAAATAAACAGAATTAATAATCTGCAGAAAATCTGCGGAATTCTGCGCGCGCAGATTCTGTGTGGGCCTAGTCATACCCATGTCATTATAGATTTTTCCTTGTAAACCAGAACATGCACACACAGCTGAAAATCCAATAAAAAAAGCTAAGGAAAAAAAAAAACAGCGAAAGCCTTGCACATAGCCGTGCATTTATACTGCTGCATGCTCTTTCTGTTGCTCTGCAATAACACTTCCGGAACGCTGGCTAGCAGTAGGTGTTTATGTTTCTCTGTGTCGAGTTTTTTTGCTGATGTTTTGTTTTTCTGATCGCTTCCTTAAGGTTCAAGTGTCTCAAATTCGCTCATTTTGAGGAGGGAACTGGCGGACGTGCAACAACATTAATCAAAAGGTAAACAAAAAACAACAGTCTCCATCCGGAACTCTTTTATGGGACTCCACACTTGTAACCTCTCGCTGCATCAACAAATGTTCTTAAATTGATGGTTTAAAAAAGCTAATAAACATGACACAGTTTTTTCATGCACCTGTCATTTCTGAGATCTTAGGCTTTTTAGCCTTTCATTCAAGCGTCTTTTTTTTGTTTGTGTAATCTAAATAAAAGATCCAATATACACTTAAGTGTTTCTTTTGTAAATGCTAATCTGTTCCATTTGTGTCCAAAGATTTCAGTTGCAGCATATTTTAAAATACAAGTTCCCCTCAAAATGACTAACTAGTTAACCAAGTAAATAACTAACTAAATAACTAAACAACTAACTAACAAACCATGTAACTAACTAAATAACTAACTAACTAACCAAGTAACTAACTAACCAACTAACTAACTAAACAACTAACTAACTAACTAACTAACTTACCAATCAAGTAACTAACCAACTAAATAACTAAACCATTAACTAAATAACTAACCAACCAAGTAACTAACTAACCAACCAAGTAACTAACTAACCAACCAAGTAACTAAACAACTAACTAACTAAATAACTAAGTAACTAACCAACCAAGTAACTAAATAACTAAATACCTAAACCATTAACTAAATAACTAACCAACCAAGTAACTAACTAACCAAGTAAGGTTACTAACCAACTAACTAACTAAACAACTAACTAACTAACTAACTAACTAACTAACTAACTAACTAACTAACCAATCAAGTAACTAACCAACTAAATAACTAAACCATTAACTAAATAACTAACCAACAAGTAATTAACTAACCAACCAAGTAACTAACTAATCAACCAACTAACTAAACAACTAACTAACTAAATAACTAAGTAACTAACCAACCAAGTAACTAACTAACCAACTAAATAAATAACTAACTAAACAACTAAATAAATAAATAACTAAGTAATCAACCAACCAAATAACTAACTAACTAACCAACTAACTAACTAAACTAAACAACTAACTAACTAAATAACTAAACAACTAACTAACTAAATAACTAACTAACTAACTAACTAACTATCCAACTAACCAACTAACTAAATAAATAACTAACTAACAAACCAAGTAACTAACTAACCAACTAACTAAATAACTAACTATCCAACTAACCAACAACTAAATAAATAAATAACTAAGTAACTAACCAAGTAATTAACTAACCAGCTAACTAACTAAATAACTAAACAACTAACCAAATAACTAAGTAACTAACCAACCAACTAAACAACTAACTAACTAACTAAATAAATAACTAACTAACAAACCAAGTAACTAACTAACCAACTAACTAATTAACTAAACAACTAACTAAATAACTAGCCAACCAAGTAACTAACCGCCAACCAACTAACTAAACAACCAACTAACTAACTAAACAACTAACTAAGTAACTAACTAACCAATCAAGTAACCAACAAACCAACCAAGCAACTAACCAACTAACTAACTGACCTACCCGCATTAGTCCCAGTCATGTATTCTCTCACACTGCATCGTAAGATAGCTTAGCATCCATCGAATGCACACTTCAGAATCTCGCTGGAAGTAGTAAATCATCCGGGTACTTCTCGACTACTGTTCTTTTAATACTATAACCTCAGACATACTATTCTGCATACTGTTTTTCATGTGCTATATCATATGGAGGTATACAATTTTAAATGCAGCTGCTGTTACACCTTAGGAGTCCATTATTTTCTAACAATTTAGTTTAACAGAGTCAACTATTCTGCTAATACTACAGTGATCACATCTGCGGATGCTGTATTTCAGACACCTGTCAGGTGTGCAGCACTAGTCTCTTACACATCTCATCCTCATCTCAGTGATTGTTTAATGGCTGTTGACCAAGCTGTGAAATAAATGAAACCATTCAGTGTAGTGATATGGAGTTGCAATGAGTTTAAAACCTGCCAGAACTATTTTAGTTGTGCGTTTATCTGAAAATAACTGCACCTTAGAACATAGGTTCCCCGAACTCAGTCCTGGAGGGCCAGTGTCCTGCAGAGTTTAGCTCAAACATCCTTCAATACACCTGGCTGGATGTTTCTAGTATACCTAGAGCTTGATTAGCTGGTCCAGGTGTATCTGACTGAGGTTGGAACTAAACTCTGCAGGACACCCGCCGCCCTCCAGAACAGAGTGTGCACACGCCTGCATTAGAATGTTCATCAGCCAATCAGAATCAAGCATTCAAGAGACTTTCTGCATGAGCAATAAACCTGCACAAACTGCACAGGAGCTGCTACAGCTCTGCTTATAGATAAATATAAACCTGCACTCACCGCCCGCAGGTCCTCGATGCGTTTGAGCAGTGGTGCAGGCAGGCTGTTGGGCAGAGGCGGTGGTGGCATCGGCATCATCCCACTCTTCTGCACTCGTCCTGTAGCTCCTGCTTTGCCGTTCTCGCTCTGCCCAGGGCTAGACGGCTGCGGAGAGTCCAGCAGCCCGAAGTCCAGGTCGCCCATCAGCTCTTGCAGCATGTCGTTCTCTGTGGCTCCACCCAACAGTGACATCATGGCCGGGTCAGCGGAGATGTCAGCCATAGACAGGTCATCAGAGGGAGCGGCAGCGGAGGTGACGGCCGGGTTTGGAGGAGCGCGGACCAGCTTGACTGCGGATACTGGGGATTTCTTGCGGATCTCCTCTTTCTCGCGGGTGAAGCGCCGCAGCATGGCTGCCAGAGACAGAGAGTCCTTCATTAGCTTCTTCCTCTTCTTCTTCTCCGGTCGATTCAGTGATGACACACTGAGAAAGACAGCGACAAACAAAATAGAAGTGTTAAATAATGCTATTGTTTAAAGGTGCAGTAGTTGAGTTTGACACCCAGTGGTTAAACTAGGCATTGCACGCCTGGTTAAAAACACACGCAAGTGCAGGTTGCCAGATTGACGATACCAACAAGAGCGAGCCTGACTGTCGAGCCTAAAGGCTGATTTAAACCGTGTTCTAACTCAAAGCAATGGCTCGCAATACATCTCATGTGCTTTATTCAGTGTTGAATGCTAATAATGTGTTTGAACGTCATTTTACATTTATTGCCATACCACTGAAAGTAGCAGCAGATAGTTCACCTCAGATCTGGAGAATAAAATCAATTGAAAATTCAAAGTGAACTTTAGAACTGTGACTCAGTGCAAGCAGACACAAATCAGTGATTCAGCATCTACATTTAATAATGTTAAAGAGGTTTAATGTGTATTGATTAGATTATAAACCTCATCATTTAGCTAGAGTGCAGTGAGTGCACTATTCTGTGCTTCTGAATGGCTGTGTTTAAATTTGTGTTGCGTTTCGTCTGATGCAATCAGCCAAACTGCTCATCACTGCAAATCTCATCATGTAGCGTGTTGTTAGGACACAGGGTTACAATGTAACCTGCTCACCTAACGTTTAAGTTAGTATCATTTATAATATTTGCTAATTAATAACCCCCTCATGTGGAACTCTGATTCTCATTTTGGAGGCTGCTGCTGTCCACTGGAGGTCGCAATTCAGTTAAGGACGCTCACTTTGAGAGCCTTTCCGACTGAATGTAAATACAATTGGCTAAACTAAAGCAAAATAAAAAGACCAAAACAAAGACAGCCGTTGCGGTACGTAATTCACATTTTCAAAGCAGAATATCAGCATTGTTTTTTTAGATAAAAAAGAATGTTCCCTCAGCATGTTTCTGAAATATCTGCAAACATATTATGGTATTTTTACGCTTTAAACAAGAGTCAAAAACTAACATACAGCACCTTTAAATAAGAAAAATAATCAAAGTGGCACAGTAAGGAGATTAAGACATTTCTACACAACCAGTTAGGGTTGCATGATGTGGGGAAAAATCTGACATTGCAATATTTTGCTTTTCTGCAATATACTGGCGTCACTGTCTCACTGGCGTCACTGTCTCCGTTCGGTCACACACTGTGTGCTTGAAGTTTGGACTTGCTATTTACTCGCAATTTAAATCTTAATCATTAAATTCTTCCTCATTCGCTAAGTATTTGTCTCTCCTACTTAGGGTGACCAAACCCTTAATACATTTATACAAACAAAGCTGCTTTAAAAACGGTCTGTCCCTCGAGCATCCGCCTGTTGTTTGTAGCTTTAGCCTGCTAGCGCCGCTGGTCAGCTAAAGCTACCGACCTCTTTAACCATACACTTTTGACTTACTGGCTTTGCTCTTTACCCCGTAAAATGTCGCTTCCGTCTCTGTCCTTGTGTGCAGGAGAAGCATCGATGGAGGCGTTGGAGCTGGAGCTGGAAGAAGTGGAGTCCCAGATCCGCGCGCTGGTGGTAAGACGGTCGCGGCTACGGGAACGGCTTCTAGCCGTACCTAATGCTAAGGCCGTCTCATCACCTAAGGTACGTGGAAATTACAACCACATCATTCCCTCTACCTCAACCCCGCGTCCTTCTCTGTCCAGGCCCAGCGCACCCGGGGCGCGGCTCAGCCAGGCGTCGTTCACGCCGACACCCGGCTACCACGGCGCCTGGGTGCAGCCGCGCAAGGTGCTTCCCAGATCCCGGGGCAGAACGTCTCCGCCTGTGTTCGAGATCTCCACGGAGAACCGCTTCTCCCCTCTCCGCGAGTCGGGTCCCGATGTGGCCATCATCGGTGACTCGATCGTTCGTCACGTCCGTGCCGCCTCCTCAAAAGGTAATAAAGTACGTACTTTCTGCTTTCCTGGTGCCCGTGTGAAAAATATTTCTACACAGATTCCAACCATCCTGGGCGCTGCCGAGAGCCCTGGTGCCGTTGTCCTCCACGTGGGGACAAACGACACCGGGCTCCGGCAGTCGGAGATCCTGAAGAAGGACTTCAGGAGCCTGATCGAGACGGTTCGACGCACCTCGCCCGCCACGCAGATCATCGTTTCTGGGCCGCTTCCTACCTACCGCCGAGGAAATGAAAGGTTCAGTAGACTTTTAGCTTTGAATGAATGGCTAATAACATGGTGTAAAGAACAGAAATTGCTCTTTGCTAATAACTGGAATCTTTTCTGGGAGCGTCCTAGGCTCTTCCGTCCTGACGGCCTGCACCCCAGTAGAGCCGGAGCTGAACTCCTGTCGGACAACATCTCCAGACTACTTCGCACCATCTGACTAGCAGGTAAAAATTCACAAAATTCACACTATAGCCACCTAGACTCTTGTTCACCCCACTTAAACATCAGTAACGCATGTCTGGCGAATCCTATAGAGACTGTGTCTGTTCCTCGTATTATTAGATTAAGAAATAAACGTACTGTGTGCTCCAGGAAAAATCTAGTAAGAATCAAACCAGAAAAACCAGTAGAAAGTGAAAATACAAATTTCGTAAAACTTGGTCTCCTAAACATCAGGTCACTTGCACCTAAAGCACTTATCATTAATGAAATAATAACAGAAAACAATCTTAATGCACTCTGTCTCACTGAAACCTGGCTGAAACAAAATGACTATATTAGCTTAAATGAAGCAACTCCTCCAGGATTCTTATATAAACATGAGGCTCGTCAAACTGGTCGTGGTGGTGGAGTTGCATCAATCTTTAGTGATTTTCTTAATATTAAACAGAGAAACGGACTTATGTTTAGCTCCTTTGAAGTATTATCGCTTAATGTTCAGCTTCCAGATACTATACAAAAACCTATGTTATCTCTCGCCTTAATCACCATATATAGACCCCCAGGACCCTATGTCAAATTTCTAAAAGAATTTTCTGATTTTATTTCTGACTTACTAGTCAAAACTGATAAAATGCTAATTGTAGGTGACTTTAACATCCACATAGATGACGCTAATGATACATTAGGGCTCGCGTTTATGGATTTAATACACTCACTTGGGATAAAGCAAAACGTTGTGGGTCCAACCCATCGCTTAAAGCATACATTAGATCTAATTCTGTCTTATGGAATCGAGGTTATTGACGTAGACATTATACCACAAAGTGATGATATTACAGATCACTACCTCTTACTATATAAGCTATGTTTACCTGAAATCAGCAAACCCGCTCCAATACTCCGCCCTAGTAGAACTATTGTTCCGTCAACTAAAGATGAATTTATAAATAACTTACCTGATCTCTCTCTATTTCGTAATGCACCCGCAAACTCAAATGATCTTGATGTAGTAACCAGCAGTATGGATGCCATCTTTACTAGCACACTAAATACTGTGGCACCCATAAAATTAAAAAAGGCTAGAGAGATTAAAACTATACCATGGTATAATAGTCATACTCGTGCGCTCAAAACAGCAACCCGCGCCCTGGAACGTAAATGGAAAAAAACTAATTTAGAGGTCTTTAGAATTGCGTACAAAGACAGTATGTCCAGCTATAGGAGGGCTCTAAAATCTGCCAGGACCGAGCACCTGCGCAAACTGATAGAAAATAATCATAACAATCCTAGATTTTTATTTAACACCATCTCTAAATTAGCAAATAATCGGTCATCCTTGGAACAAACTACTCCACCGCAAATTAGTAGTGATGACTTCATGAATTTTTTCAGTAATAAAATAGAAGGCTTTAGACAGAAAATAGGAGATGCCAAACTTTCTGCACCGGCTTATACTCCAAATCCTGTAAATATTTCATTAAATCATAATAATAACCTACACTGCTTCAAAATCATAGAACATGAAGAGTTAGTGAAAATTATAAATAGCTCTAAACCAGCTACGTGTATGCTGGACTCAATTCCAACAAAATTACTGAAAGAGCTGCTACCTGCTATAGGAGAACCTCTTCTTAACATTATCAACTCTTCTTTATCTATAGGCCATGTTCCAAACTCTTACAAGCTAGCTGTTATTAAGCCTATTATTAAGAAACCGCAACTAGACACCAACAACTTAGCTAACTATAGGCCTATTTCAAATCTTCCATTTATGTCTAAAATACTAGAAAAAGTTGTTTCCACTCAATTATGCTCTTTTCTGCAGACGAACAATATTTTTGAAGTGTTTCAGTCAGGTTTCAGGGCTCACCACAGTACAGAAACCGCCTTAGTGAAAATAACCAACGATTTACTCTTAGCTGCTGACCGAGGGTGCGTCTCGCTATTAGTTTTACTCGATCTTAGTGCGGCATTTGATACCATTGACCACAATATCCTCATAAATCGCTTAAAGTCTACAGGTGTCCAGGGACAGGCTCTACAATGGTTTAAGTCATACTTAACTGACCGCTACCAGTTTGTAAATCTTAATGGACAGCCTTCACAAATCTGCCCAGTAAAGTATGGGGTGCCTCAAGGATCAGTTTTAGGCCCTTTACTGTTTACAATTTACATGCTACCTATGGGAGACATTATTAGAAGACATGGGATCAGCTTTCACTGCTATGCAGATGATACTCAATTATATATTTCCACTAAACCTGACGAGACGTCTGAACTTTCTAAACTAACTGAGTGTATCAAAGACATCAAAGACTGGATGACCAACAATTTTCTTCTCTTAAACTCAGACAAAACAGAATTATTACTTATTGGGCCTAAATCTTGCACACAGCAGATCTCGCAACTCAATTTACAATTAGAGGGATACAAAGTTAGCTTTAGCTCTACTATAAAAGATCTGGGTGTCATATTTGACAGCAATCTAACTTTTAAAAACCATATATCCCATGTCACTAAAACTGCCTTCTTTCATCTGAGAAATATCGCTAAATTACGAAATATGCTATCCATCTCAGATGCAGAAAAGCTAGTCCATGCTTTTATGACTTCGAGACTGGATTACTGTAATGCTCTATTTGCTGGCTGCCCAGCATCCTCTATTAACAAACTTCAATTAGTGCAAAATGCAGCAGCCAGAGTTCTGACCAGGTCTAGAAAATATGATCATATAACCCCAATTTTATCCTCCTTACACTGGCTGCCTGTTAAATTTCGTATTGAATTTAAAATATTACTTCTCACCTATAAAGCTCTAAATAATCTAGCTCCTGTTTATCTAACCAACCTTCTGTCTCGCTACGAACCAACTCGCTCCTTAAGATCTCAAAATTCAGGGCTTCTGGTAGTACCTAGAATAGCAAAATCAAGTAAAGGAGGTCGAGCCTTCTCTTTCATGGCTCCTACACTCTGGAATAGCCTTCCTGGTAATGTCCGAGGCTCAGACACACTCTCCCAGTTCAAAACTAGATTAAAGACCTATCTGTTTAGTAAAGCATACACTCAGTGCATCACCTAGCAGGTTCCACACTGGCTTCTACATCTTGCTTATATACACTATGAACAGCAGCTACGCTAATTATTCTCTTTATTCTCTATTTTCACCTGGGGATACTCATCCCGAGGTCCTCAGATTAGGCGGAGTCACTGATTGGATCCAAGACCAGCGACGTGATGATCCCAAGGATTCCATATCCGGGACCAGGCCATATCCTGAGCTGCTGCTGCGCTGATGGTCGTGGGGAGTGGAGAACATGAGTCTGATTCCAGCGACGCTCCAGGGACAGACGAGTCTTCATTGAGGCCATCTTCCAGCATAAACCACGGCGAAGGAAGTTCTTCACAAGACTTTTGGCCAGCGGAGAAATTAAAATGGTCGTGCCCAACTGAGTCTGGTTCTCTCAAGGTTTTTTTTCTTCACTCCCATCAGGTGAAGTTTTTTTTCCCTCTCCGCTGTCGCCACTGCCTCGCATGGTTCAGGATTGGTAGAGCTACACATCGATGAATTTGCTCTTCAGTGTTTGAACTCTCAGTAATGATTAAATCACACTGAACAGAGCTAAACTGAACTGAACTGAACTTAAACACTAAAACCTGAACCACACTGTTCCAATTACTATGACCATTTATGTGAAGCTGCTTTGACACAATCTACATTGTAAAAGCGCTATACAAATAAAGCTGAATTGAAAGCTGAATATACAGTTATATTAGCCCCCTGTATATTTTATCCCCAATTTCTGTTTCACATTACTCATTTCATATTTGCCATGATGACCGTAAATAATATTTGATTTTTCAAGACACTTCTATACAGCTTAAAGTGACTTTAAAAGTGTAACTAGGTTAATTAGGGTAAAGTTAGGGTAATTAGGCAAGTCATTGTATAATGAAGTTTTTTTTCTGTAGACTATCAAAAAACAAACATTGCTTAAGGGGGCTAATAATATTGACCTTAAAATGAATTAAGAAAAATTAAAAGCTGCTTTTATTCTAGTCAAAATAAAACAAATAAGACTTTTTTCAGAAAAAAAATATTATCAGAGATACTGTGAAAAATACTGTTAAATATTTGGGAAATATTTGAGAAAGGAAATAAAATTCATAGAAGGGCGAATAGTTCTGACTAGAGATCTGCGCGGGACTAAATTTTGAATCCCACTCCCGCCAGGTTTTAGCCCGAACCCGACCGCTCCCCCTTATATTCAGCATTTGTTGTCCCGCTGCCCGACCCGCCCTGTTTTCTACCCGCCGCGCCAGATCCCGCTAAAGAACAGGGGGGAGAACAAAATCGCAATCCACCCAGCTTTACAGAGTCCAGACAGCCTTTAACAAGTAGTCTTTATAAAAACACACACACACACACACACACACACGCGCGTGCACACACACACACACACACGCACGCACACATGCACACACGCACACACATGCACACACACACGCGCGCACACACGCACACACACACACGCACGCACGCACAAACATGCACACGCACGCACGCACAAACATGCACACGCACAGCAACGAACAAACAAGCTAAACGCAGCATCTTGCTGTTTCAGTCATACACATAACGTTACATACGCGTGCTTGCTCGCTCGGGAGTCGGGAGGGATATTGCTAGACGGCCCGCTGCCATTCCAAATTAAACCTGTTACCGACCACTCCCGCCCTTTATTCGGAAATTTATTCCCGCGCCGCAGAAATCTAGAGCCAAGGGACAGCAAACCTCTAGTTCTGACTTCAACTGTATATAGTGTTATGATTACAATTTCACCAGATGACTTGAACATATCTTTTTGAAAAAGAGTTCTAATGTTAGATGTTGTTGGAATGGTTCTGTAGGGAAATGCATCTGCATAAACATACAAATAAAATAAATAGTGTTTTATTGCTTTCAGAGGAGTCCAACACCATTCAGGTGTATAGTAACTAAATAAACAACTGCAAAATAATACAGTATAGTCTTCATTTTATAAATTATTCAATAAAATTAATGGTTATTTTCAAGAGTTCACACTTAGCTGATGATTGTTTATAAAGCTAGTTTGGCATGCTGTCCGGGGAGAGAGCCCTGAGCTCATAAGATCTTCGAGCCCGGGGCTCCCTCCCGTTTGCAGGCGAGAGGGGAGTTTGAGCTAAGGTAGATCTCGAGAATTCCTCTGTTGTAAAAGCTAATGAACAGATAGTGATTGCTCTTAAGAGATAACCATTTACTAGGAGTATTTCTATGGTGCCAATTTGGATTAGTCAATTAACTTAGGTTGCATGTTTTTTGACGGTGGGAGGAAACCGGGGAACCCGGGGGAAACCCATGTGAGCACGGGGAGAACGTGTAAACTCTGCACAGAAACGTCAGCTGGCTTGGTAAGGACTAGAACCAGTGACGTTCTTGCTGTGAGGCAACAGTGCTAACCATCTAGGAAAAGAGAAGTAGGGGTGGAAGGGGGGATTCTTCACTTAGGAATCGCCTGATTGGTCAATCACAAATTGGATAACGTGGGGCTGGCTGCAAGCAACCATAAGCACCCAATCCTCTCAAAATTAGTTTATAAATAAACTTCACAAAGTTGCAACGGATACAATTTCTTGTAGTTGTCGTTCACATCTCAGATTTCCCACAGTGAAAGCATCTGAACTAACCCCGGTTTGGGAACTTTGAATTTCCTGGGTTTCTTCTCCTCCAGTCCTCCATCCTGCTTCTTTTTCCTTCGCTTTATCACCCGCTCCTCTCCCTCTTTCTGTCAATCCAAGCAGAAAACATCAAACGCTGTTAATCCCAACATCAGATAAAAATCCTCCAGCATATATCTAACAAACTGACCATAAACACAACTTTACATTCTGACATCTGGTAAAAGATCGCCATTATTGCATAAGCGAGTTTCATTTGCAAACCTTTGCAACTTTAAACATTTTGCAGAAATGTACAGTTAATGTTTATTTGGTTATTTTTTATTATGTTTTTTTTTATTTTACAGCTTTTACCTCACAATTGTTTACTTCACAATTATATTATTTACACTTGTTGTTCTGTCGTCTTTCTCAAGTACCAATTTACCATAAATAAATCCACATGCATGTATGCAAGCATGATTCAGACATGTTTTGATTTATTATGCAAAAAAAAACTATTTATAAGGGGATAAACACAGTTTTTTATTGTGTGAATTAGAGCTGCACAATTAATCGTTAAAAGATCGCGATCTCGATTCGATCCCCTAGACGATCTTAATCCAGCATTTCTACGATTCTGTCAATCATATTTTCAAGTTCAGGAGAGAAGCAAAGGCGGCTGAATGAGTCTTTTCAGTGTTTCACACACATTGCTCAGTGACATTGATACCTCCATATGATGTTGAATGAGTCGCATACTGTATTTACAAGGTATAATTCACCTAAAAATTAAATTTTTGTCTTAATATAATGATGTTTTCGCGATCGGGAAATCACACGTGACGTGAGCTGCTGACCGTGAGCTGTTATCACAGAGAGGGCGGGTGCGCATTCTAATGATAGACGCACGCGTCTCCTTTAGTGAACAGAACCTTCATATGTTGCGAGTAACAGGTAATATAGTTGCAAATAATATTCAGTTTGTGGCACAGAGTGATCGTTTGGGAGCCGCGCGCGAAGTATAAACAAGAACTTAGCAGCCAAAATGAAACCGAAAGTGTGCACTTCATTTAAATGATCATATCGCATTTTAGAGTTATGATTACGACAAGCATTTGATGTTTTTTCTTTCATAACGAACCCACAGTTGTGCATGAAAATAAATGTTTACAGTGTCAGTATAACTACTCTAGCCTATATATTGTTGAATATAATCTGATAATGGCAAATGTCTGATTTTACCAGTGAATAAAATTGTCTAATATGACAGATTGCAAGCACATATCTCAAACATAAAAATTCAACATCAGAATTATTATAAGTAGAATAGAATTATTTATAGAAACCAGTAGACCTACACATAATATTATTATCGAGGTTGTGCCACATGTTTGTTTTTACCATACATTTATTTTACATCTACAGAATAGTGAGAGAATCTTTATTTTAAGCAAAAAAAAAAAAAAAAAATTCGCGATTCTCGATTTAGCCAGAATCGTGCAGCTCTAGTGTGTATATAGCCAGCCTGCAGAAACACTTTGACTGACATTTTCTCTTTCTACAAATCATCAGGGGGGGAAAGCCCTGCCCATTACGCCCCATTCACATGGGGCGTCAGCGTCAGCGCTTCCCATTCACTTTGAATGGGTGACGTCAGGCGTTGCCGAACTGCATTGTGGATCTGTCGGCACCAATTCAGAGGCGCTGCTCGCTGCAGAAGTTGGGACTAGCTCAACTTTAAGCGCCGACGGAAGCATCAGCCAATCAGCCCACTGTATGCAAATACACCAGCTAGACAGTGGCCTATTGCTGACTGAATTTCATTGGTTGACGCTGCTATGACAATCGCGTCAGCCCCAACTTCAAACACGCCATCAGTCAAGCGTTGACGCTGAAGCCCCAGCGTTAGTGACCATCTCTCGTTTATTGGCATAAACAGCCGTCCGCTATTTGTTTTCACCTGCTGAAAATAACATTCACGATTTCAGTTTTCAATAGAAATAACTAAGGGTGTCACGATCCTCCAAATCCTCGATTCGATTACATTTTCGATTCTAAAGGCACGATTCGATTTCGATTATGAATAATTAATTAATTAATGACCAATTAATTATTTGTAGCCTACTGTTTAAACTACCTGACCTGGATGGTCTTTGTTTTACCCATAAACAAATCATACAGTAAATGAATAAAGGCAAGATACACACATAATTACCACCTGTCAATCACTTTTTTCTGCGGGACTCGGGAATAGGCAGTGATCTGTGTCGTTATAATGGCGTCAGTAAAAAAGACGCACAACCAACAGTAACCAGCCAACAGTATCTGAGGTGTTCGCTAAAATGACTAAGTACAAGTGAGTGAAAGATTGAAGCAGTCCTCTGACTGCTTGGACCTGCTGCCTCGAGCGCATGGCTGCGAGTGCGTCCGTGTCTGTGTGGTCACGTGATGTGCATTTTCAGAGGTAGTGAGGAAGGAGGGCTGCTCAGAAATGCTACACGCCACTGTGGATGTCAAATCGTTGTCGTTCCAAAATGCCATTTAAAAACAAAGACAGTGTAAACAGGGCCTGAGTGTGTACTTTTCGCGAGCGCCGAGCGAATTTGCAACGGGGGCGGGTGGAGGATCGCGATGCCGGTGTTGTCTATCGGACGAACGGTACGTAATACGTACATTGCAGAGCTTGCAAAACTGTGTGTTTTTTTTTGACAACACGAACGTTGTCAACATAACTCACTGGAAATCCAAAATGCTTCCACACCGGCGACTTCATTGAAAGAGGAGAGGGTTTAAGCTCTGTCGACGGGTCTCCTGCTTCTGCAGTTTAACAAGCACTTCAACAAACCTGTTTTTTTCCCGCTTGGCAAGCCAAGCTGACGTGACATGGGGGCGTGGCAACATCGACGATTCTATTTTTTGATTCGATAACCGAAATTGAGCATAAATTTCGATTAAAAATCGAAATCGTGACACCCCTAGAAATAACGTTAGCCCTGTTTTTTAATCTGTCACTATGCTGACACACAGGCATTTGTAGCCCCACCCCCTTTTGGAAGGTGCACAATCTCATTTAAATTTAAAGCAACAGTCACCAAAATAGCACAATTAGGATCAAAGCCTAAAACGGTCAGTTTCAGAGTTATGAAACATTATCGGTGTGCTATTTTGAGCTGAAACTTTACATACGCACTCTAAGGACATGAGAGACTTATTTTACATCCTGTAAAAAACAACATAATAGCTCCCCCTTTAATTTGCAACCCCACAAGAAATTAGCACACATAAACGTAGGCAACATAACTCCAGCTCCCTGAATCATCAGCTACAGCAGCGATCATGAAGGTGCACGACGATGATGATGATGATAATCACCTTAATGTGATTGGACTCTTTTCCAGCATCTTCTCCCTCAGATTCAGATGCCACCCTGAACTGCAGTGTGCCAGTGTTGATGTAGAAACCGCCCAGTTTAGTGGTCAGAGATGCAGGAACCAGTTCATCATACTGTGAAGAGACACACACACACAGACGACATCAGCTTTTACTAATGCAAAAATCAAATATATTCACATTCATACACTGATACCGTAGTCAACATTTAAAGTGGATCAAAAAGGTTTTCCAAATTAGTTCCAAGACAAGAATGGGTGTTTAATAGTTTTAGGACAACTTTGATGAAAGGTTTTGATACACTTCAAATATTGACTACTGAATATAAACATAGATAATACAATCCAGGACACTCTTGAAGAAGACATTACACATCTCAAGAGGTTTTCAATGTAAAATAAATGTTAAAATAAATAAATAAATGAGATATTTATACATTAGTTGAAGAGATGTTTTTGATCATACAACTTGAAATATGTAAATTATGCAAGATATTAAGTCATGAATGTGGAGGAACAGCAGTGATTCAATGTATTCACAGATTTATCAGCAAAATACTTTGATTCATGCAACATTTTCTGACTTTTAAGAAAAGATGTGAATGTGGTCAAATGGCAAATCTATGACAGTGTCATTTTCCCCCTCATGTGGTATTCATGTGTTACTAAACAGTACTTCAAGACAGAATGATGCTCTCATTGAGAATCAATATAGACCTCTCTCCCTTACACTCACCGCTTCAGAGTTGTCAATAAACGGATCCGTTTCATCATATCCATAACCGATATCAATCAGATCCTGCATCCGGTCTTTCCTCTTCTTCTTAACAGCGCCTCCCTGAACATCAAAATGCAATTAAAAGCTCAATTCAAAGATAATTAAATCACATAACATACCATACCTAAACAATTGAATCTCATTTTGTTCTTGCACCTCTCTAATTAACCAATTTTAATTTAAACCAATTGTGTTATACATATAAATAGTATGTTATATATGAATTAATTATATATTAATCATAATACTGGTGACAGATTCTTCATATAGGTCTTGTGACATTGATTTATTTTAATTAAAACATTCCTTTTTTTCTATTTAAAATAGAAAGCTTAAAGAAATACACAAAAAAGTTGTGAGTGGAGGCATTAAACAAGTTAATTAACTAGTTATGCTTAAGATTAATTATTTCCACGGTAAAGAAAAACAAACATGTGCATATTAAACACACAAATGAGTGCGTTTGCATACACAAATAATAGAAAAACCATCCAAAAATCCAATTATTGCATGATTTATTTAATGTGTTCACATGCAACTCAGTAAACCGGCTATGCTAAAAATAAATACAAATTGGGTTTACATGAGTTTCTAACAAACATTGGCATCAGCAGCTTAAAAATGTCTGTGTGAAATCTGTCAGAAGCTGTGCTGGTGTATTTTTCACATCTTTACAGTACGTGCAAATGCAGCACTGCTCTTTGATTCTGTATCAACTGTGTGAGTTTAAACCAGCTTTAAACCAAGAAAGTGTCAGTGTAAGAAATATTACCACCGTCCCCTAGAGCTGTGCAATTAATCGAAAATCCAATTTCGATTATGCCTTCCAATGATTATGAAAAATCATTAATCAAGATAAACAATTATTGCATCATATACCATATCATTGCATAATTGCATCATATGTATATTTAATGGTCAAATAGGTGTCAAAACGCAGTGTTTAGGGATTATTCATGTCAACCATCATTTGTGTTATAAACAAACAAGTTGAAAATCAAAATAGACGCGAAAGAGAAACTATTAAAGAGACAGCGCACTATAATCCTTCTGCCGCCTGTTTTTATGATTATTAATCAAACAACAAATGGAGAACATGCCTCTGCTCTTGACTAAAGGACTTTTGCTGCTAAAGTGTTTCTTAAAGTGAAGATGCTTAAAGCAGAGTTTGTTTTATATTTTATTCTATTGTATTTATTTCTCTTTCCTTTGCAGGGTGGAAAATAACTCAGTTGAAGTCAGAGTTATTAGCCCTCTTGAATATTAGCAACTCTTTCCCCCCCAATTTCTGTTTAATGGAAAGAAGATGTCTGAACATAATAGCTTTAATAACTCTTTTCTAATAACTGATCTATTTTATCTTTGTCATGATGAGAGCACATAATATTTGACTAGATATTTTTTCAAAATACATGCATTTAGATTCAAAGTGTGATTTAAAGGCTTAATTAGTGTAACTAGGCAGGTCATTGTATAACAGTAGTTTCTTCTGCAGACAATCAAAAAATATGTTGCTTAAGGGGGCTAATATTATAGTCTTTAAAATGGGTTTCAAAGTATTCTAACCTGCTTTTATTCTAGCCAAAATAAAAATAAAAAAGCCTTTCTCCAGAAGAAAAAATATAAGAGGAAATACTGTTAAAATTCCTTGCTATGTTAAACATAATTTGGGAAATATTTATTTTTTAAAAAAAGACTCAGGAGTGCTAATAATTTTGACTGTAACAGAAATCGTTTTGAATAATCGTGAATTCAATTATGACCAAAATAATCGTGATTATGATTTTTCACAAAATCGAGCAGCCCTACCGTCCCCTGTCTAGAAATGCCTGCTTAAGCAGGATGAATGTGCTAAAATGCCTGTAAGAGAGTTTACATGCAAAGCGAAGCTGGAATATTGAGAAAAAAACTACCTGTTCAGATTGCATGTTAGGTTGTTTTTGACCTTTAGCCAATAAAACAAATCTGAGTCATGCACTTACATGACATTACACAAATCAGCTTATTAAAGGGGCTGCATGTACGTTTTTTAAAACTCCTAATGTATAATAATGCTGAAAATAAATGCTAAAGTCAGCTATTCTCCTCTGAGAATGAGCGTTCAGTGTCAGTATGTCTGTCTTTGCTTTGGCCTCTATAACCAGCCCACTGCCAGTTTAGCCAACTATATTTCACACCCTGGGTTGCCTTGGTGGAAAACAGCGCATTTTATTTTAGTCTTGTAGACTGCTTATTGTATGTGGATGTGGCCTAAAATGCAACCTTCTGAGGATACTAGAAATAAAATGAGATGCAGATTCAGAGTTATAAAACTCACTGTGCTGTATAATTACTATATATTAGAAACGTAAACATTAACTGATCAGACAACAGAGTAAGGCTCGATCAACAGGCATACTCGCTACTGTTCGTGTCAATCTGGCAAACTGCATTCACATTGAGTCATCAGCTATTAAAAATTGAACTGAAACACCTACATTAACCACTGGGTGTCAATATTACATGCTAGATTTTCAAAGGTCCAAATTAAAATAAAGTTGTTGTTTTTTTTTACATGATAGTGTGGTACAAAACAATGACAAAATCCATGTGTAGAAGATATAAAACTGATAAAACATGGAGGCAGGGTGTCTGCAGGTTTCAGAGTTAAATTTACGACTTTAAGACATTTTTAAGACCATTAGGAATGGAATTTCAGACCCATAAAGGGCTGAAGACTAAGAAATCTTTCAAATGACCCAGATGGAAAAGATTTTTAATTCGCCCTATCAATTTTTTTACAATAATTTAATACATTTATTAATACAATAATATATGTTTTATTTTTAAAAATATATTTTTACATGACATTTTTTAGCTAAATATTTTAAATATTGTGTACAAACAAGCAAGCTCTAGTTGTATCCATACACATGTTTTACATAAACTTTCTTTAAAATAAAATTAAATTAAACAAATCTTTTAAAAGTATTAAAAACTATAATGAACTAAATGTATGCACAACAATCAGGTCAGTGTCCTCATCAGTAAATACATGGAGAACTATTAAACAAATGTGTTTGTAAGGAAAATAATTAAACCATTATAATAAACAAAATTAAAAACTACCTTTTTAAATAAAAAATGCAAGTTTTATCGAGAAGATTGGTGATTATTGTATGAGTTTTGGCCAGATTTGTTATAAGTACATGAACAAAGGAAAATTAAGACCTGTTTAAAAAGATATTTAAGACTTACAACACAATATTTCAGCAAATGTAGGACTTTTTAAGGCCTAAAATTTTGAATTTAAGATTTAAGACATTTTAAGACCCTGCAGAAACCCTGTGTAGAGCTCCCTTCCGCCAAAATGAATCAACTTTTTTTTTTACGTCACCTCATACTTCAGTCTTGACCAATCAAATGCCCTCTAATATCTGACACTCCCAGCCTCCTTAGCTTTTCATTTGATGCTTGAGCTCAACTACTCTCAATGGCAGAGCTCTGATAAAATCAAAACTCTATTGGCTGTGTTAAAGGGGAGGAGCTACTATAAGCTCCGCCCTCTCCATGTTTAAACTGCGATTACATAAAACAAAATGCATTTTCAAGGCACTTCATGGGACCTTTAGGCACAATCAGCTTAAAAACATGCAACACTCAATGACAGGTGCTGATGTACGATACATACATATTTGCTCTCAAACTTCCTGGCCAGAGCCTCGACTTCCTGCCGCTCTTTGTCTTCGTCTGCAAACGGATCGCTGGGGTCCAGAGCTGGAGTGAGACCCTGAGGAGCTTTCCTCACCTTCAGGAGCAAATAAAACAGGTCAGACAAAACTAATCCAATTGTTTACATGCAAAAAGGTATGAGTTATGCATTATAGGTTTCTGCTACTCATCAGTGTGCAATAGAACGTCAATATTTTATTATTAGGGCTGCACTATAGCCTATTTCAGAATTAATAAAGGGTTAATGCACTTGGGCATAAGAAATTGTGCCGTTTTAAACTTTAATGAAGACTAATTTCCTATAAAAACTATCATTTTTAGTTGTAGATTATGCAGTGTAATTTTACAACACTATTCATTGCCTGTAAATGAATACTGTTAGACTGTACACTGTAAAAAACGCTTCCCTTCATGCTGTCCCAACACAAATTAATTAAGTTATTCAAACTGTTTTTTAAATATTTAAGTGGATTGAACATAAAACAATTAAGTTTCTTACTTTTTTTTTTTAAATCATATTTTATATATCATTTCCTCACCTACAGAGACATATCAATCAATCTAAATAATAAACTCTTTCCTTATAAAGCTATCTGGTGAAATTGCAGGGCTCGACAATAAAGATTGCCCGGTGGCCAAGGGCCAGCATGCGCGAGCCGCTCGAGACAGCATATTACAGGATAGTTATTGGCCCAATTGGGCCAGTGCTGCCTTGTCACTAAAGTTTCGACTGTTTGTCAGTTGCATGCAAATTTTAGGTGCGTTTCACACCTAGACGTTTGTTTCAGAACCTGTCTCTTTTGCTCAGCAAGCTCAGTTCGTTAGGCATGTGAATCCCACAATCACACTTAGATCCGCACCAAAACAATTGCTCCGAGATTGCCTGAATAAGGCGGTCTCGGCTCGATTGAATCAAACTCTGGAGTGGATCTATTGCAGTGAGAAAGCAAAACGATCCAACGAACCAGGATATATCACAGTGTATTCTGGATATGTAACTGGCATATATACGACTATATGAAGAGAGAATGATGAGTACGGCGGCATGTCATCATTCCTACCGACAAATATGAGTTTTATGTTGAATATGAAAGTATGCTGAAACATCACAGAGAGCTGTTTATCCGTTAGAAAAAATTGACAGAAATTGCTATCAGCTCATTTTTCTATATTTTAATAATTTGTATTAGGCCTGTTGTTTTGACAGCTCGAAAGAAAGATCAGCATTGATCTGCTTCAAGATCTGACTGTAGTCTATCTTAATCTGTTATTTCTCTCTATAATTTAAAGGGTCACAAAACACCAAAACACATGTTTTGAGCTGTTGACAGTCGTATATGTGTCCCACACTGCTAAAAACACTATAGGACACCTATATTTCACTAAAAAGTGTAAATTGGTCGTTTTGGCGTTATTTCAAGCAAATTCGTACTTCCGGTTTGAAACAAATTTTTGAAGCTGCGTCACGGTCATGACATAATAGCGTTGTATTCCAGCGTGCAGACTGGACGTCTGTGCCAGAGTGTGTCTTATTACGTCTTACAGCCTGCTGCATTAATGCATGAGTAAGGCTTGGTTCAAACCAATCAGCGCGCTCTATAGTGCAACTTCATTAATATTCATTACTGTCATAGTGTAGACGGCAAAGACGCCACGTTGTGTTGGCAAAACAAGCGTGAAGTGTTGCTTTTATAGTTTGCTGCAGTTACGTTTTGTTTTCATTTTCTCTCTATGTGAGCGCAGACTCACGCGTGGATTAACAGTGTAAGCGACGCTCGACAACAATAACTTACGTGTCTAAGGAGGAACATTGTTTACCTGAGAGCTGTTCTCATCTGCAAACGCTGAGATCCGGATTCGCTTGTAGTCTCCTCTAAATAAAGACGCGGCTCTAGTTGCTGGTGATTGTCCTGTCTCTACAGATTTGGTAAGTGAGCGACCAGTGCTCTTTGATTATTCAGGTCGTATTTTATTCGTATCAAACAAACAGTTACAACCAAACTATAACCTCGTGTTGGATTTAGTGACCGGAATAACACACGCGGCTTTCTGACACTACCTCCCGTGTGTATCTAAGTTTCCGGGAAATGCGGAGGTTTTTTTTCTCTCATTCGCCGTGCGGTATCAAACATTGCATGAAAAATACACGCTTAGAGCAGTTCCTCGAATCAAATATCTCGTTTGTCGTGAGGGGCATGAATGAATTCCCTGAATGAAAGAGCCAAACTGCAGTTAAAGTCCACCATTTAATAATTTGGCAAATAATTCGACTACAGATGTCCATGTAAACACAGTCACATTGTCCGCTGAGGTTGTGTGTTTTGACTCTGAAATTCAGCGTGCCCAAATAGACACTCCCATACCAAGCCTCTTTTCTTCCTCCGACACTCCCCCCTAAACAGAGCTGGACACGCCCACTTTTCTGACTTTTTCCAAAGTAGAGGTGTGAAAACACACTGCTGAAACGAGGGGGTTTCATGGGCCTTTAAGCCTATAATCCAGAATTCTGTATTAATTGAATAATCGAATAGATAGATTTTTTACAAAACTTGACAACTGAAATTAGGCTATTTATGAGAAAGTCTTACCTCTTTGTTTTATATTTGGGGACAATGTCTGTGGGTGTCATATATATATATATATATATATATATATATATATATATATATATATATATATATATATATATATATATATATATATATATTTATTTATTAGGGCTGTGCAATTAATCGAAAATCCGATTTCGACTTCTAACGATTATGAAAAAACGTTTATCGAGATAAACGATTATTGCATCATTTACCGCCCCCTCTCCAGTTGTTTACATTTGTTGCTCTTAAAAGTGCGAAAGACCATGTGCTTATGTGTGTGTGCAGCACGCACACACAGTCAGAAGTATGCGGTCAGCATTCGGTCTCATTCGAACACTGAGAAGAGCAGAGGAGCGCAGACATCTAAAGTCATTTTAACGTGAGCGATTTAATGGTTAAATAAGTGTCAAAATGCGGTGTTTAGTGATTATTCATATTAACCCTTATTTGTGTAATAAACAAACAAGTTAAGAATCAAAAGACGTGTGAAAGAGAAACCATTAAAGTGACCGCGCAAAATATTCCTGCTGCCGCCTGTTTTTATCATTAATCAAACAACAAGGAGAAAATCCCTCACTGCTCTTGACTGAAGGACTTTTGTAGCTAAAGTGTTTTTCTTACAGTAAAGATGCTTACAGCACAGTTTGTTTCATAGTGTTATTCTATTGTATTTATTTCTTTTTCCTTTGCAGAGTGGAAAATAACTGTATATATGCAGTGGAAGTCAGAATTATTAGCCCTCCTGAATATTAGCAACCCTTTTCTCCTAATTTCTGTTGAATGGAAAGAAGATTTTTTTACTTATTTCTGAACATAATAGTTTTGATATCTCATGTCTAATTACTGATTTCTTTTATCTTTGCTATGATGACATTACATAATATTTTACTAGATATTTTTTCAAAATACTAGCATTCAGATTAAAGTGCAATTCAAAGGCTTAATATATTGCTTAAAGGGGCTAATAATATTGACCTTAAAATGGGTTTCAAAATATTTAAACCTGCTTTTATTCTAGCTAAAATAAAAAAAAGACTTTCTTCAGAAGCAAAATATTAGAAGAAATACTGTTAAAATTCCTTACTCTGTTAAACATCATTTGGGAAATATTTATTTAAAACCAAATTCTCAGGAGCGCTAATAATTTTGACTTCAACTGATAATAATCGTGATGACAATTATGACCTACATAATCATGATTATGATTTTCCCAAAATCGAGCAGCCCTAATATATATATAAAATCAATAATGTTTTTTCTTTTTTCCTTTAAATTTACACACAATTGTAATTTTTAAAATTGTCAGTTGCATTTAAAGAAAAGTTAAGCTGAAGTTATGTTTGGCTTTTGACATAATTTAAAATATGTGGCTAAAAAATAGCTATTAACTTATTTTTTGGTGAGGCCATTGAAAATTTTGGCAGGGCAAGTAAAAATCTAAAACACTGGCCAGTTGAAAAATTCCTTAGCGTTGAACCCTGAATTGTATTTATAAATTTGTCATGTCACGATAAATAGGTTTTTTGTGTGATATATTGTCAAAGAAATTATCGCAATAAGTAAAATTATTATCATTTTAGGATCTAGAGCTAATTAGAACACCTTTGAGCCACCAGTAGTTTTAAAGAAAGCTTGAAAATACAGTATTTCCTAAACAATACATAACATGTCACAAAAAATGTATTGAGGTCACGTCCATGTATAGCATGATAAGAAGATATATTGATTATTGTGACAGGCCTAATTGTAATATATATATTGCAGAAAAATAAAGATTTTTCTAATATTGTGCAGCCCTTTTTTACATCAAAGTGCAATACAGACAACATCCATATAGTATACCTATGAGCAACAATCGTACAGATTGTCTTTATTCTTAACCATCTGAAACTATTTCACACCATTTGTGTTTATACACCTTTCAGCAGCATGGCAGCATCAAGGCTATTTTCAAGGCGATCCCAGAATAAATGACAAAAGGTTTACAATTAACAAACAGCCATAAAAGACATTTCAGATAGATTAACACTACACAACAACTACCTAATACATTCAGATGATACTTTTATTATTTATTTAAAGTGAAGTGTTTAAGAGTGCTGGTACTTTCTGAAAGTAACCATGCTATAATATTTTCTGGTATGCAACTATAATAAAATAGTCATGAGCTAAAAACTACTACACCACTCATCATTCAGCTAAATCTGGATCTGCCGTTACTATTATAGACTGATGTGACGGATACTTTAAGGAAGTCAAAGAAAAGACAGTCCACTTTGGTGTCTTCATCAAATGTATAAAAGTGATTTTTACAGACATAGAAAGCAAAATAAATGCAAGTAATGCGTTTAAACTTTGGTTTTAGGCAACTTGGATGAAAATAAAATGTCAAATTAAGGTGAAACAATGATCCTTACTCATTAAACAAAGAAACAAAATGCTTATTTTGATTTGTACTAAATCAGGGTCACTGCAGATGTCAATTTTAAGACTTTTTACGACCTTTTTAAGACCATTAAGTATTAAATTTAAGACCTATATTGCAATATCAAAAACACGCGAGAGAAAATGTAAAAGCACAAAATTAGGGGGTAAAATAATTTTATTTAAATGGAACAGTACTAAAAACAGGTTAAATGCACCATTGAACTACAGAAAAAACAAACAAACATCTTAATGCTGATTTATACTTCCGCCTGGCGCTGCGTCGCACTGACTCGCACATCTCACAAAACAGACGAGGCTTTTATGCGTTCGCCATTGAGATATTTTTTTAAATGACAAGGGGTGGTCAAAAAATCAGACGAATAAAAACATAATCATTATCATTGAAGATGTTTTTGGGGGCCTCTTTTTTGTTGTTTTAACAAACTTATACCTCAGGTTTTTGCAAGTCATACCTCATGCCTGTTGCAATTTCTAGCCAATAATTATTGGTCATCTGGTTCTCCCTATGATCACGCATGGATGGATCATAAAGATTTCCGTACAGACAGACGTACCTGTTTCAGACAAAATCTCTTCAAAGTGTTTCATATTCAACTCAAATCAAATGTGGCGCCGTGCGAGTCTCAAAAGTCTCAAAAATTGTATTAGCTCCGCTATGGCGTTATTTCAGTGACAAATGTCGTGAGCGCAGTATTAGAAGTCATGAGCGCATTCATGTAAAACAAGCGGGCGAATCTCTTTGCTCATGCACCGATTTCCTCTGTTTGTGGGCAAAACTGCGTGCGAGTTCTCGAATATAATACGCTGCTCACGCGCATATTTTCTCACTCTCAAACATGCACTGCTCATGCACAAATTTTCTTGCGCACTCTCAGCACACTGTTCCCTCTTCCTTTCGTGCTTTTTGATATGATTTATATTAGTACACTATTTCTTACCAATAACCAAAATACTGGAATAGAGTTACATATTACATTTTTAATCTAATAAAACATCACATTTTTGGCTGTCATTGTATGAGATGTTTCCAGTTTCAAACACTTAGACACAGAGAATAGTTTTATTTTAAAAGCATTTATTAAACATCCATAAGGTGCACCATAAAACAACAACTTACGACATTTGTCAGTGAAATAACGGCATATTCTGCCAGCTGAAATCATGTCGCGCGCACTCAAAGCACAGCGATGATGTCACATTCGCCGCGCGCACTGAGTTTGATATCAGAAAGCTGATTGGCTATTGCAAGTTGACCTTTTGTAGTTGAAATACCGCAAATTACAATTGGACTAGTGAAATAAAGAACTACAACACCCTAAAAACCTAGCAACAAACAACAACAAAAAAATTTAAATGAGCATTAGATGTAGCGTTACATGGACATCGCAAAAATAAGACCTGTGCAAAAATATTGAAGACCCAGAACAGCGAATTTAAGACTTTTTAAGACCCCGCTGGGACCCTGTAAATAAAATGAATAAATTAATGTATTGTCAAACTAATATTTTTACATATTAAAAAACATGAACAAATGGGTGAAAACTCATGGTTAAAAAAGTAAATAAATACATTTGGCAGCTTGACAACACGTGCACAGCACACAAATTCTCAACACATGCAAATGCAGAAATGTGCTGCAAGTTAGGAAAACATGTGCACATAGAAAAATGCTAATAAATTAAAAAAACAAACATGTTAATTTTCAATTTGTGAGTATTATACTCTATATGCATGCTACGAAGCTTATTACTGCCACAATTATGATTCTTGCTCTACACGACAAGATTTAACTAGCATTGACACTCATCTGTGAATCATGTGGAAAATGTATGGTACTGTTTTTGCTTAGAAACATTAACTATTAAACATGTTAATAATGTAACAAAATATGTACATACAATTTTTTTAGTTGTTGTGTGTACCGTGTATATGTATTAATAAATACGCACAAGCCTATATATTTGAGAATATGCTTGTTAATATAAATTAGATACTCATAGAATACAAATTATATATAAATTTAAATAGCTATGCAAAAAAAAAAAGCTTGTATAGTTTTTCTTTTATGTATTTGTGTGTATTTCATATAAAATGGATATTTATAATACACACAAACACATAACTTATGCTAAAATAAACTTAACTTGAATGTGATTAATCGAGATTAATCTTTGCCCAACACTGATTTTCACACTTTTAATGATTATGGAGATACTTCGTTCTAGCATAAAGTCATTCAGAATCCATATGGGACATTTAATGACTACTAATTCACACATTTGCAAATTAACGTTACGTCAGTGTGAGATAGTACTGCTGTCAACAAAATTCTGAGTAAAAATCAAACTTTCACAAAACGTATCTTACAGCTTGTATTAAGGTAAAGATGGTTTTAGATTTGTGCATTTGGACCGTCTCCTTAATAATATAATTTCAGAAAAGTATTATTTGCAAATTCTAAACAGGGAAATCATATTCGCAGCCAATGACTATTGAAGTACAACATTGTTGTACTTTGTACAGCAGGGGTCACCAACATGGTACACAGGTAGCCCACGAGGATCTTGTGTGTTGCCCGCAGGCCTGTTATAAAAATAGCTCACCATAGCGCCACCTACTAGTAAGCTCATCTAATATAAAAGTAATCATTAAAAATTTATAAATTTGCATAGATAAATAAAAATAAAGTGTTGCACATTGATATATTAAATACAGGGTATTTTCTACCCTGTTTAATCATTGTTGGTAACTTTGTGAGAATCATTAACATGATCAGTGTCGTCACATGGATGATTATTAATTATTACCAAAAACATAAATTATAATTAAAAGCAAATTGAGCAAATTTGTTATTTGAGAAGTGTTTATCAAACTGGTAGCCCTCCACATTAATCGGTACCCAAGAAGTAGCTCTCAGTTTCATAGAGGTTGGTGACTCCCGGTTTACAGTCTATTAAATAGTGCTAATGCTGTTTTAAAGTCCCAATTACATGCGATTTCAGAACAATTAATCAAAGCAGTGCGTTAACCAATGTAGTGACTGTGTCGCTGTTCAAAAATGAATGAATGTGCGAATATAAAACCATCTTTACCTCAATAATACAGCTTATTTTGATTATTTTAATCCTGATAAATGATAAACCTTCCCATAAAAAAATAAATAAATGTTTTCACCAATATATCGAAACCCTTTCTCGGTTTTTAGTGTAGGGCTTGTCATTGTGAATACTGTGTATTTCACTTTGATTTTGGCTTTACTGTATTAATCTATGCTTGTATTTTTTTCCTTTTTCCTGTCCTACGGAGTCAATACAATCAATTAAAATGAATGAACCCTTTCCTAATAATATCTGGTGAAATTGAATTCATATTGTAATTAGGACTGTCACAATAAATTAGTTTTTGTTGTGCGATATATTGTCATAGAAATGAATCCGATAAGTGAAACTATCATACTGTTAAAATCAAATAATGTCTGTTTTAATATAATAATTATACAGCACATAAAAAGGAATAAAAACTCCTTCAGGGGGCCAAAAAAACCGACATATTTGTGAATAGTCACTTTTCTGAAAGTGGATTTGAAACACAGCAAATATTTATAGTAGTGTCATAAGAAATATAGCTACTGTACCGTGTCGCTGTTCAAAAGTGAACGAATGTGATAAACGAATTCGGTTTCAAACCCATAACCATTTCCATTAAGGTGAAGTTGGTTATGAGTAGGCCCACCCGGAATCTACGCGTGCAGAATTCCACAAATGTTTAGCCCATTATTAATTCTGTTCATTTACATGAGTAAACGTGTGTAAATCTATATTTATTTAGTTTTTACCCTAATTTCAGTAATATTATTGACTAGTGTGAAAATGTTTATCTGATTTATGTACAATGCAGTCTGTACAGTAATATTTTCTGTCTTTTACTAGATATATTATATGCAGTACTTGCTTTATTTACCAAATAAAGTGAATCTAATAGGATTTGCATTTTAAACATTAAATAAAAGTTAAAAAGATATTTTTTTATTTGATATATTAAGGTTTTAGTTATGATACTCACAAAATAATTCCACAGAAATCCGCAGACTTTTACCAAAATTCTCTGCAGAAATTGCAAAAAACAACCGCAGATTCCGTCTGGCCCTAGTTATGAGCAATTCCATGCAAATGTCAACCTTGCCATGAAAAAACTAAAGTTTTTACCAAAATATTGAAACTCTTTCTAGGTTTTTAGAGTAGGTTTGTAATTTGTAGTACTGTAACAATACTCAAATCTCTCTGTCAATGTTTACAACCAATTATATCTGATTTTCCAAAGTCACACAAGTGCCTACTTCATCCGTAACCAAGCTTTTTCCACATAAAAGCAAAATAAATTAAAATCAGTCAAGTTTGTTCTATAGAGAGCAAACTTATCTTTTTAATGATCACCATTTCTTTTGGGTTGTGCAGTTCACAGAATTTGTACAAAGTTTGTTGCATACCTTAAACTTGCAGTTTTTTTGGTCACTTCTATAATCCAAGCTTATTTTCCTGATTTAAAATAAACATTTTAGTACATAGGGATGCCTTTCTGCTCCTTTAAGTTGTTTTGAAAAATATAAACAGGTTTTCAACATAATTAGTCAACATATGCTTTCTCTATGAATTTATGTTTAAGTTTTTACTGCAAATGTCACAACCATGACGCTGGAATTGCTCAACGTTACCTTAATTTGTCGACAAAGGACAGAGTTGAAAACAAACTTTCACTGAAAGTGTCTTAAGTTACATCTTATATACTAAAAGTTCGCTTCTGACAAATCAATCGGGGGTTTAAACCCATGAATCCGGTTTTAAACCCAGCATAGTGGTGTTCCAGGGTCTCACCTGCAGGCTGGAGGTGATCAGCTCGCCGTAGTTAAACTCTGCTGATTTCTGCTCATTCGGCTCTGACAGGCTCAGGTTTAGTCGGACGGTGCGTTTGGGTTCGCCGGGATCCGTAGCCGGTTTCGCGGTAACATTACCGAACAGCCCCCCGCCGGTGACACCGGGGGTCGGCTCATTCTCCTCATCCTCCCGTCGGCGTTTTTTAGTCTCGGGCGCCGCCGGTGTGGTGCTGAAAGAGGCGAGGGTGACGAACGGGACTTTTCTCGGGTCAGCCATTGGGCTCTCCGGTTCTGCTCGAGCCCGGACACGCGCGCCCCTGACTGTTAGCTTGAGCTAAAATTAGCGCTCACACTCCCAAACAATACTTTAACGCTGACACGAAAGGAAACGAACTCCGTTTTAGGTCATAAATTATTTCCTCTCTGCATTCAGGTTGCTTCCGTTTCATTTAGTCGAGTGTGAAAGTAGTTTTTGTTTGTGTGAAATCTCGGCAGCATCTGTGGCAGCCATTTTCGATAGCAGTAAATACAGGATGAGGCGGTGGGTCACTGAACATGCGCAGTACGCGCGACGCTGGAACTTGACCAATTAGAAGTCACAAAGAACTCCAAGACCCGTCCTCTGGGGGAAGTCTAGCCCGAGAGGGCGGAGCCAGTGCTGTGCGGGCTTATGGCGGGAGATTTAGAATTGAGGGGGTACCAATTTGTTTTTCTTTTATTATTTAATATAATAAAGTCGACACTAATGCAAAATACAGTATTCTGAGCAAAAACTAGACATGTTTATTCTGTCATTTTGCACCAGTTTATATGTGGCCGGTTATTATCACACCTTTCAAAAAAGAGATGATTTTAACAGCAAAATGCTATGGGCGAATGGTTTGTAAACATTCAGGATGCGCGCGCATCAAGGTTGCAGAAAAAACGGGAGCGCTAGCATTTACAGCGAAGGAATGACATCCGATGCGGTACAGAGTTTGTTGTTGTCTTAAAGATAAGTTATGATGATTACATATTATATATATTATTTACATAATGCTTTCAGTGTAATATAATAGCCTGTCACCCAGTGATAAGCACAGTTATTCTGCAAAATTAACGTTAAAGTGAGCGGCATTCATCGACAAGTCCATCTGCTGTAGCTAGCACCCTCCAAATGGATATTGGATAATATGAAATGGCCAAGCATCTGAAGTGGTTACAAATTATTAGAAATTGAAAATCAAAGTTAATTCGTCTTTCTAGTCTGTACACTTTCGTTTTAATAAGTAGAAAATAGAAAATAAATATTGTAAATTAATGTAATGGGATGCAACGATTTACATTTTTCCGATTGGCTACTTCTGCCTGTGGGCTGCATACCTAATGAGGGGGAGGGGCCTGCTGCTCAAACAATACACAGACTCTGACGTGAAGCAGCAGCAGCTTCGTGTTTCCTGTGTTTTTATTAACATTATTGTCCCTCATCAGGTATGAAATATTGAAATCGTTATCAAAATGTGTTGAATATACGTTAGAGATATGAAAGCGTGACAAGTGTCATCTATAAAATTAACCTGATAGTGTATATTAATATATATATATAAGAGTTCGTATTAGCTGTATATATATATATATATATATATATATATATACGCTCTGCACTGTAATTCCAACGACAAAAATGATGATTTAAATGTCAACTGAAGAAACGGTCAAGTGAATGTATATTATCCCTGCTGAAAAATCCAGCTTAAACCAGCCTAGGCTGGTTGGCTGGTTTTAGAGGGGTTTTGGCCATTTACAGGCTGGTTTCCAGCTATTTCCAGCCTGGTCTTAGCTGCTCAGGCTGAAAAATGACCTGCTTAATCCAGCTAAAACCAGCTTGACCACCCTGGTTTAAGCTGGATATAGCTGGTTTTGGCTGGGCTCCCAGCCTGGCTAGGCTGGTCAAGCTGGTTTTAGCTGGTCATGTCCCAGCCTGACCAGCTAAGACCAGGCTGGAAATGGCTGGAAACCAGCCTGGAAATGGCCAAAACCCCTCTAAAACCAGCCTGGTCAACCAGCTAAAACCAACCAACCAGCCTAGGCTGGTTTAAGCTGGATTTTTCAGTAGGGATATGTATCAACATAACAATTAACAAAGGGAATATTGTTACAAAAGTAATTATAAAGTTACAAAGTGCTATTATTTCCCATAGTTGGTTACAATGTATATATAAAAAGAAATATATGTGTAGGTCGGTTATAAGGCTTTGTGTGTGTTATAGGACAATTAAACTGTGAATAGTTTATTTAGGAAGAATCATATAAGTCAAGTCAAGTCAAGTTTTATTATTTGTCACATACATAGTTATACAAAGTATGACCAGCAGTGAAATGTAGGTCAGGTCCGCTCCAGAGATAGTGCAAGTATAGATAAACAAAAATTAAATAATAAGGGGGAAAAAAAATGGTGCAAAAAAAAGATTTGCAAAAATTATACAAGGTAATAAGAATAGCAGCAATATGAGGTACTTATAAATATGACTACTACGGTGATAAATACGAAAAAATCAAGTAATGTGTAACACCGGGTTAGAATTTAGCAGCCTGAATTTGGCAGCCTGATGGCCAAGAAAGGCTTAGGGGAAAGAAACTCCTCCTAAGTCTCTCAGTTTTTGCCATCAAGCTACGGAAACGTTTTCTAGATGGAAGCAAAGTGAATAGATAATTGTCAGGATGGTTTAAGTCCTTACAGATTTTAACAGCTCTATTTTTACAGCGTTCAAAATAGATGTCCTGCAAGGAGGGGAAAGCAGACCCCTTATAATGACTTTATAGTAATTTATAACAGTAATGTGCAGGGAATATGTGTGTGAATATTTTGTGATATATATATATATATATATATGTAAACATCTTCACAGATATTATATATATATATATATATATATACACACATATATATATATATATATATATATATATATATATATATATATATATATATATATATATATATATATATTTATATATATAATATCTGTGAAGATGTTTATATATGTTGTTCTACAATAAGTGTATAATAAAGTGCATTCATTTAAAAAAAACAATACACAGACTCTGACGTGAAGCAGCAGCAGCTCCGTGTTTCCTGTGTTTTTATTAACAATATTGTCCCTCATCAGGCGGTGAGGGCGCTACACATCCAGCGCGAAATATACAATCTCATTGAAGCTCCAAGTGATTTAACAAGAGAGAAGTTAAAGGCCTACAAGTCTTTGGATGTCTACAATGTTGTTCTGTGTGGTCATGTGCAAAATAATATGCTCCATGATGACTAGATTCAACACTATGTAGAGCTGAAAAACCGAGATTCTGCCTAGTCAAAGACAAGGAAAGAAGACAGAGCTGTACAAGGCCTGGGTAATCACCAACAAGCAAAACAACAGCATCTGGCAGTGAACTGCACCTGTACGGCAGGGTATGTCAGCTTACATGTTTACATTTCCTCCTAAGCATTCAGTGTCAGCAGTTTAATTCGCCATATTTAACTGTTATTGCTGCAATCAAAAAACAGTAATGTGTATGATTCAGCATAGCATGAACTTACCTGATATAACATCATGTGTGATGCATGTTGGTAATTCCCCAGTTTGGTGGACCAGAAGTTATCTTAAACATTAATTGTGATGTGTGCAACAATATGGGCAGAAACAACCATTCGGCATGTGTTGTTATTTATGAAAAAGAAGCTGAGAAAAGAAGAAACATCAAAGAAAAAATTAGTAATGAAATATTTATTAGTCTGAAATGTAATATTGACAGTGCTGGAAAATGGGTAGTTTCATTTTTAACATTTTAAAGTTATTAAGGACATCAAAATGATCACAAAACAAACATAACACATGCTAAAGGGGAATAATCGAATGGCCAGGCATTGTTGTGATAACAAATACAATATATAGAATAAATACAATCATCATTCATTTTCTTGTCGGCTTAGTCCCTTTATTAATCCGGGGTCACCACAGCAGAATGAACCGCCAACTTATCCAGCAAGTTTTTACGCAGTGGATGACCTTCCAGCCGCAACCCAACTCTGGGAAACATCCACACACATACTCATATACTACGGACAATTTAGCCTACCCAATTCGCCTGTACCGCATGTCTTTAGCCTGTAGGGGAAACCGGAGCACACCCACGCGAATGCAGGGAGAACATGCAAACTCCACACAGACGTGCCAACTGAGCCGAGGTTTGAACCAGCAACCCAGCGACCTTCTTGCTGTGAGGCAACAGCACTACCTACTGCCTCGCCTACAATATAATCATTCATATTTTATATATATTTTAAACGATAGTCTCATTAATGTTAGAATATGAATGTAGAAATGTAAAAAAGATCAGTCATTATTTAAAAATACACATACCTCGATGTTAGTGTTTGCTGACAGTATACTCAATAAATGACATGATTTGAAAACCTTTACTTAAAAAGTAGACACAGCACAAAATACAATAATGAAAAAGTTCTAGCACAGCTGTTTTCTTGAAAAAGGCGTAACAGTGTCATTAGAAACTGAATTGAAAATGACCTTATTTTAATATAGTCAGTCGTGAACTGAGGTGGGCCGGTGTAAGGCTTGAAACTCTAGGGCTGAAAAGGAGTCCCACTCCGGCCCTGGCTGACAGTATACTCAATAAATTATATGATTTGAAAACTTTTACTTAAAAAAATAGACACATTACAAAAAAACAATAATGAAAAACACAAAACACACAGGAATATGAATTGTATAACACAGCAACATTGAGGACATCATGAACATCTTGAGGAAGAATCATGAACAAATAAGCAGCAGGTTTGTTGTGTACAAATATTGACTTTGAGATATGAGAGAAATATGAGAGTATTTTAAAAAGTTTCTACTATGTATTTCATACTATTTTTGTATTTTATTTAATATTTATTTACTTTCATATTTACTCACCTGTTTTTTATCTTCATGAAATAGAAATCTTTTAATTGATGGCCTAAATTAAACAAGTTGTTTCTCAAACTGATATTGGTGAATCATGTTTGGGACAGAATACAGCCACCTGCTGGCTGTTTAGAGAAAGAGACACTACTTTGAAGAACAAAAAGTGTTATGACCACATATATCCAGCAGAGGGCCATAGATACCTATTTATTTTTGTCTGGATGTGTCAAACTGCTTCTAACTTATCTTTATATATAATTTAAATTAAACATATTTTACATAAAATCAGCTCGCATTAGTATACATTAAAATGAGTACTTCTGTCAAAGGATTTATTATTGATTTATTTACATTTTGAGATTTCTTGCAGACGTTTATATACATACCGTGTTCAGCAAATAAGTGTACACCCCTCACAAATCTCTCATTTAGCTTAATATGTTTTATAGGAAGCTTTACTTCATAATACTTGTGCATATACATTAGATTAGTCAGTACTGAAACCAAATCTGGAGTTAATCTAACAAAATATGATAACGGTTCAAAATT